CACCGATGCATTTGACGCACCTAGGGTGAGCAAAACAGTTGCGGGCTGTGTGGCCATAGTGTTGGCAGTTATGACACTGCGCAACAGCGCCGGACTTCCGTGGAGGCTCAACGACGAGTTCGCTAAGCCCACAGAGCCTCTTCAAATTAAAAATTGCCTTACCTTCCGGGGTAGGATCCGACTCCACCATTACAATTTCCATCGGGACACGGGTTCTGGGGTGACGTAGACGACGAACGGCGTGCACCGGGTATCCCTGAGTGCGGATGTCGATTTTTACATTGTCGACATCCAACTCTTTCGGGATTCCCTTTATGACTACCCGAAGTTTGCGTTCTTCAGGCAGCGAGTAGGTATGGAAACCTACTTTGTTTTCGCGTAAATATTTAATGACGCGGCGGAAGTCATCGATGCTATCGAGGTATACACGGATACCTTGATGGGTGTTCTTCGACCGGGGGTGTCGAATATTGTGGCGTTCGAACCACACGCAAATTTGATGCCATTTAGCTTTCTCCTGGATGATGATAGGCGGAGGAGGCTTGGCTTTTCTTTCGGCGGCGTATTCGGGTGCCGGTTGGACTGCCGCGGCCACCTTTTTGGCGGGCGTCGCAGTGGATCTATTAATTGAGGTGGTGGCCTCGCTTTCGGAGTCGCTATCTACGGCGGGGCGTTTCTTGCCCTTCTTTTTTCGTCCAGTGACGACGGTGAAGCCGTCGTCATTGGGTTTACCGGCGGGAGTTAAATCTACCTCCATATCCGATCCGCCGTCCGAGTATGAGTCGAGTACGACGGTGCACAAGGAGGCCGGGGTAGCTTGCGAGGAAGGCGCGACGGGCGTGTTCGCAGCGGCGGATGTCGACGCGACGGGCGCTTCTTGCGTCGCGGAAGGCAACGGGGTTAGGGGCGCAGAGGGCGCCGGAGATGGCGGCGATGCGATTGCTGGTGAAGGCGGGCTGTCGTTGGCGTATTCAACGACTAATCGTTGTTCGGATTCGAACGCTAGGTAGCTTTCCCAAATGTTGGGACAGCGTTGTCGGACGAACTCCTCGAAAAGGGAGCCCATCGTAATGTATGTGCCTTTGGGGCTTAGGCCCCGCCAGCGTGTGTAAGCTTAATAAGCCTCCCCACCTTGCGGCAGGGAGGAGTGTGCCTAAAATAACACTTAATTCGCCTGCGCTTTAGGTGCGCTAGGGTGAGTACCTAGCTGTCACCCAATGCAACAAGCACACAGTTAAAAATTAGGCAATGCCGCCTCTGAGGCGAGAAATGTGTGTAGAATTCTACTTACGGACAGGAACCTGCCTACGAGCACAACACTAAACTATTGCACTACTTGCATAAATATTTAAATTGCAACCAAAGTTGCGAGTAGCGTCTAATTCGGGTGGCATGTGCACTCCGTCTTAGAGAGACGTCCGTTCCGTACGAGAGTACGAAGCGGAATGACAAGGGTTTGAACAGAACCCGAACCGGAACAAAAACCGGAACGAACCGGCTTGTTTTTCCGAACAGTGAGTCCGGAACGTTTTTTTTCCTGCTGAACGGTTCATGTATTGTTAAAAATATTTATGCAATATTGTTTGAGTATCTACTATGCGTATTTTATAATTTGTTAACTAATTTTATTAATCGTTACTATTATTGTAATAAACATATCTCTTATCCTTTAAACGAGCAATTCTTGTATATATATATATATATGTATATATGTATATATAATCGGAATCTCGGAAACGGCTCCAGCGATTTTCATGAAATTTTAGAAAATGTCCTTATTCCTGTTTTCTTTATCCCTGTTTTCAGGGAATGAAAAATATAATTAGAATATGACAGTAAATTTCGCCGCAAGAGGAAATGTCATAATAGCTCGGTCGGTAATCGGGCGGCCCCAAAACAGACGGCCGTGGTTCGCGTCACGATCATTTACACATTTATTTTTTACTTTTTTTTCGATTCCAGATTCTTTATTTTTAATTTTTTGTCGATTTGTTATTTTGTTATTTTTTCCCTTTTTTTTTAAAGTTCTTTCTTTTGTGAAAAACATCAGTTCATATTTTCTTATTATTACGTCGGTAAGATCGAAAAATATTATGCATATTTCATTACTCAGTAATTTGTATCTAAATGTAATTTTCAAAATACACGATTTACCAAAAAAAACAAACCGAGCAAAGTTCTCGGTCCTCCGGGTACTATATATATATATATATATATACACAATATTTTATATGCTGTAATACATGATTTTCGTTTCCTTTCCTTTTTATGCTATATACAGCGCCATTTCGCCAGTCATTTGGAACATGAAACCGCACAGAGCGGCCGCCTACCGAGGATCGGCCCTCTCTATTTAAATATATATAAGTGTTCCGGTAAAAAAAAAAAATTAGCACAACACCACTGGATATCAGGGCGTAGTCCACCTCGCGGCCCCACTGCCGATTGACGGACTATCTTCACACATATCTTCGCAATCTTTTATTACAATAAATAAATAAAAATTTTCCTTGTGAGAATGTTCACCATAAAAATATAACTAGAAAAAAAAATTCGCGCAAGAAAAGCGAGATGTTGTTAATTGTAGCATTGAGCCACGCTACCAGATTTTGTTGAAGGTTTAATGTGGATACATGTAACTTCAATGGCGAAGATAGCCTTACCCTTACCCTTGAGGCTAAGCTCAAGCGCGACTATTAGAAGAAGGTCCATTGAAACTTGCAACTGCGAGTTACCTAGTAGCCATACGCCTTATGGAATATCACTAGGATCAGATATCGGCGAGTACTCCATCGAATTCCGTTTTTTCGGGAAACTTCTTGTTACTGCCCTAGTGCTGTTGCGCTGGTATTTTGTGCACTTACCGAAGTTATTCGTGTCTGCGACCTACCTTCGGATATTTAAATGAGTATTTTTCTACCTACTCGATACGTTTCCTCCTTGAGCTAAACGGAGATACGGCTGTAGGAGAAGTTGACTCGAACTCCGTGTACGAGTCTGTCTGTGAATGACTGCGTTCGGCAGAGAAATCGAGAATGAATCCGTACAGGAATTTCTCTAGAAATATTCAGAATAGGCCTTCATTATAACGAAGTGATGTCGGATTTGGTGCTCAGGGCCTAGCAGCAGTGTAAAAACTAAAATAAGGCCTCCTCACCCAATAGCGGAGAGGTGTGTACCGTAAGCGAAAAATATGTAAAGCCATAGGACATAATATAGCTTTTTATGGTGACCTATTTACAAATAAAACAGTAAAAAAAGAAGCTCGGCTTTGCTTCTTTTAAATTCATCAAACACAAAAGAAACAATTTTATAGTCCATTTATCCATTACAATCAATTTAACTACATCGCGTAAAAGTCGATACTATTTATTTTGTTGGCTACAACCAGCTCACCCACCACAGCTCCACAGAAAGATCAACATTTATAAATTTTACGTATATTATGACCGTCAACATCTATTGCATTTAAACTGCTAATTTGTCAAAGGCCAATTTTATCTACAAATTATTGAAATTGAAAGTCAATTGATGATGAGGCTTTCATTTGTATATACATATTAGTACAATTACCACCTAAGTGCTCCATTCAAGCAAGTGATTCGAAATTTTAATTGCGGTAGTATAGGGAAATGGTATTTTATATGCATACCTTTTGTGACCTGCAATAATTCTTCGTAGTGCAAATGTGTGCCCGAAACAAAAGGAGAACATCTTTAATTAAATCATTGCTAAAATTAATTGTATGAATTAAATATATCTGTTTTGTGTTAATTATATTTAAGTATATATAATGTATTCTGAAATTTAAAACTATCCAAGTCGAATTATTGCATCATACGGTATACAATTTATTTTTGTACAGATGATTTCATTTGATTTCTATAAAAAAAACTCCATAGCAATGTGCTGTGCTTCTTTCATGTCTCATTTCATTCAAGTTCCAATAAAATGAATTGTACTCAGAAAGTTTTAATAAATGTATTTTGAATAAGCTTTGCAAAATGAAGGCCAAGACTATACATTAATACTACACTGTCTACGACTATACATATTATTACATACAGGCATGTTTACCAGTGAACTGAAATATTGATGAATTCATTATGATACATTATGTTACTTAACACTATATATATACATAGTTATATAATATATAACGTGACATGATTTCTTACATCCTTGAGATGTTAGGATTCCAGGCTAAAACCTAATTTACTAGTAAAACCTTATTAAAGGCAAAATTCTAAGACAAAGTTCGCATTTCACGTACTTAAAGAAAACGAGTATATTCATTTTAGGAAAATGTTGTAATCATACTATAATATTTGAAAAATGTATGATTTAGGTGTGTTCTATATAATGATGACAGCCGTGATAGCTCAGTGTCCGGGCGCTCGCCTTTAATTCAATATACTCGAGCAACCTGAGTTCGATCCCCGGTGCCGACACCAATAAAATTGTTAATTTTAAGTGCCGAATTATCACGTGCTCAGTGGTGAGGGAAAACATCGTGAGGAAACCTGCATATTTTCGAAATAATAATAAAATAATAAATTTTAAAGCTTTTTTTATAGTGCTAATCTCTGCACTTAAGATTGAACATTAAAACATGTAGAAAAAGTACGAAAAGATTGTCGCCGCTGTGAGAATCGAACCCACGTCTTTGGAATTCGCGGCCTGACGCTCTAGCCACTGAGGTAAACGGCTGATAGCCACAGCGACGAAAATCTTAACGCCTTCTTTCTACATTGTTATTTAGCATTTTAAGCAATGCTTAGCGCATCTATTGTTATATCCTTTCCAGCATACAAACAATTTCGAATGTCGTTTTACAACGATGCTATGCTACCTTTAGAACCTGGTGTTTAATGGAAGAGGCAATTCATCTGGTAGTAAGTGATCATTGTAAACGCCAAATAATTTGCAAATCCGTCGTTGGCGTTTAAGAAGGAAATACCTTCTTTCTTTGAGGTTAACTCGTATGATGACGCTGCCAGGTATGGGGAGTCTTCCGCGACGCGCGTCGATTCTGGCGTGTGGGCAGCAAATGGACGCGAGGTCGGTCCGACGCACACTCGCAGACCACATTAATGGGCCGACCTCTCTCGCGAGCTGCATCAGACTCGGCACCCGAGCCTCCCGCCACGCCCTTCTGTGAGTATCAGTCATCGAATTCTTATTAACGCTTATGTACTATATTCAATAGAAAGTTCCAATCAAACAAATTGTACCCGGAATCTTTTAATCACCATCACGACATTCATAAAGATATTTTAAATTTTTATAAGTTTATCAAAGTAGGTGAAAAGTAAGAATAATAAGCAAAAATAATAATATTTTTTGTATCGTAATATGTATGTCTTAAATTTGATGACGATTTGTGCACAAACTGTAAAAAAATTATTATTAATCAACCTTTTTTTTTTCAAAATCAAAATCAAATGTATTTATTCAACATAGGAGCATTACACTCACTTATTGATAGTCAAAACACTACCACCGGTTCGGAAAAGAAAGCCACTGTACTGAGAAGAACCGGCGAAAGAAACTCAGCGGGCTTTTTTTTTTTTTTGCAGTTTGACATAAATTCGTTAAAATACAATATAAGAACTCCGATTGAAAGAGCCTGGAGCGATCAGTTCATTACCAGAGTGTGTTATCATTTAAATAATCATTAATATTATAGTAGCCTTTAACACACAAACGTTCTTTTACTGTTTTTTTAAATTTAGCAATTGATGCATTTTGAACGTTTTCTGGAATTTTGTTGTAATAACGTATACATTGTCCCATAAAAGATTTACTTATTTTACGGAGTCTACATGTGGGTAGGATCAATTTATTTTTGTTCCTAGTATTTATATCATGAACATTATTATGTCTTAAAAATTTATCCTTATTTTTATGGACATACAAAACATTTTCAAAAATGTATTGAGCAGCAACAGTCAATACCTTTATCTCTTTAAACAAGTTTCTTAACGATTCTTTGGGGCCCAGATTGTAAACTGCACGAATAGCTCTCTTTTGTAAGATAAAGATTGTATTAATGTCGGCCGCGTTACCCCAAAGCAGAATGCCATAAGACATTATACTGTGAAAATAACTAAAATATACCAAGCGAGCCGTATCAACATCAGTTAACTGTAACTTATATTTTTGACCGCGAAAGCTGCTGAGCTAAGTCTACTCGCCAGTCTATTAATATGGGGGCCCCATTGCAGTTTGGCATCAATAGTTATGCCAAGGAATACAGTTGAGTCAATAGGGTCCAACGCTTCCCCATATAAAAGTACATCAGTTTTTACATGTTTAACATTGGAGGAAGTTGTAAATTTAATACATTTAGTTTTTTTATTATTCAACAGTAAATTGTTAGCACTAAACCAATGTACTACAGTAGATAGAGTATTGTTTACATCGTCATAACTTAAAGAACGTCGGTTTACTTTAAAGATTAAAGAGGTATCATCCGCAAACAATACTATCTCATGATTATTATTATTAACAAGATAAGGTAGATCATTTATGTAAATGAGGAAGAGAAAAGGCCCAAGAATAGATCCCTGTGGGGCCCCCATATTTACCAAGGCCCCGGGAGATCTCTTGCCATTCACGTCAACTCTCTGAATTCGATGGCTCAAGTACGATTTCAGAAGATTGAGTGCGGCATCTCTTATACCATAGTGGCGTAGTTTCCTGACCAAGGTCTCATGCTGTACACAATCGAAAGCTTTGGCTAAGTCACAGAATATTCCTAAGGCATCCTGCGACTTTTCCCAGGCTTCAAAAATATTCATAACGAGCTGAACACCCGCATCAGTTGTTGAGCGACCCCTAGTAAACCCATATTGCTTGTTATGTAATAAATTATGAGAGCTAAAATGCTGTAACATTTGATTTAACATGATTTTTTCAAAAATTTTACTAAGAGTTGGCAGTACAGAGATAGGTCTAAAATTATTGGGGTCGGAAGTACTACCAGATTTAAACACCGGAATGATTTTACTATGTTTCATAAGGTCAGGAAATTCGCCACGATTGATACAAATATTAAAAATAGTTGCTAGGTAAGGTGATATTACATCAATAATAGAACTGATCACCTTAACCGAGATCCCCCATAGATCTGCAGTTCTTTTAACATCTAAAGTTTTAAAAGTTTTAACAATTTCTCTCTTGTTTTACAGTAGTAAATTTAAAGTTGACTTTACATTCCATAACATTCTTTTTTAGTAATGACTCAGCAACTGTCGGTGAGGAAAGAAGTGACTTGGTTGTTGAAACTGGAATGTCAACGAAAAATTTCTCGAAGAAAGTAGCAGCCTGTTGATTTGAGTTAATAGAATTAATTATTTTATCAGTTGTAATTTGTGTCCACAATTTACGTGTTGGCGAAAACCTCGTAACGTAGATCCAAAAGAGTCTAAAATAGTCTTTTTAAAATAAAAAAAAATCATGTGTCGTGTTTCATATGCTCCATAATTTGTTAGAGCTTTTTTAAGGTCAAGATTCTTAATTCCTCTCGGTCCGCTTCTGAGATGAGTTTTCCTTTCGAGTGTTGTTCATGTTAAAAGCTAGGGAATTTCTTAAGGGGCAAAAATTATTTATTCATAGAAACTTTCATACAAATCTTGTGTGTAGGCAGACTTAATGCCTTAAGCATTCTTTCTGATGTAAAAGTAAGGAAAAATACTCACTTATTATGTATATGTTAAAGTCGAACGTTGATATGCAATCTCTTTCCGAAATGGCTGGTCATATTAGCCTAGATTTGACCAAAGCCTTCGGGCAAACCTCAAAATAAATTTCAGTTTCGCACTTTGACTTATAGTCAAACATAGTAAGTAGCTCCTAACTTTTCAGTCAAGCGTAGATCTGAAAACATAAAAATAAATAAAGGAAAGTCAATTTAAGGTCTAGAAGCTCAGGCTAATGTTATGAAATAATTAACACCTTATTAACGCATACACCTTTATCCCATATACATTACACATAAAAAATAATTACAAATATTTCATTACTCAAAATGTTATTACTCAAAATACACAAATAAATATAAACCATTCATTGATGATGATGATGATTTATACATAAATAATCCGCATTTTGATCTCTTAAACGCGTAACAATCGGTTGTCCTCTTAGTTTCGAATAAATTGGACAGCAAAGGAAAAATGGCTAGATGTGTAGAGAGGTGGTTTAAAAGGCGTCATTAGAACACAAAATTAAAACATAAGAACAATAAATAGTTAATTAGAAGGATTGGGAGATATAATTATGAAATGAAGGGCATTGATTGCACACAAACTACGGCGCTGACGAATGGGTAATAAATTACTTAGAGTGCAGTATAAGAACATAATGATTTTAATGATCACATATTTTCGAAGATTGAAAACACGAACTGTGCCTATTATTGCATCTTTTGGAATCATTACCTAAAATTTTTCATTCGTACATATTCTATACTGTAATATTTAAAATCGTACACTTCATGCTATATTTCAATACCTGTTCGAAAAATGTTATGTTGTATTGTAATTGTAGAAACCATATCGCTTTAACTACAGTTATTTTTCGATGTAATTAAATTCCACACGTAACATTCATTTAATCATTTCTATTCCTATGACCCAGATTTATACAAACTTACTGAGACTTTACATCTTATGCGTATATTCAAACTGAGGCTTTCAGGTAGCAAAATATAGTTACTGAAATTTTACTGAGTTGTATATAATTAGACAAAACTTTGTTAATTATGTATTTAAGTCTTAAAAATTGTCAGGATAGGTCTATAAAAACTTAATGATTTAAACGCACATATACGTTTTTATGTGTAACCTAAAAAGCTTATATTATTACCTTACATTATTACATTACAACGGATAATACTTATTCATGTAATTAATAATAATGACATAAAATACTCTGCAATTCAAGGAAATGTGGAGTACATTTACTTACATCTGTCACAGTTATTAAATAAATCTTTACAAAAGTTTATTGAAGTAACTTGGTCGTAACTTCCAGAATCAAGAAAATATACACACCGTAGATTATCTGCTACAAATGAAAAAAAAGAGATAGTTTGTGACGAAACAATAAGTTAAAATTTGAAAACAAATATTTCAGAACATGTCGCTACTCCATAATAATTAGTTATAAAGCAAAGCTTGTTACTTTAGTTAACTGATTTGTAAATGAATATACATTATAAATGTATAAACAACAATGTGCGTATCGAAAACCTACCTTGAGGCGAAAGAGAGAGGTTCAATTGCCACCAATTTATTTGTACAATACACTTTATTTTGTAAATATTCCATCTGTACTCTAGGTCGGCGTTGGACGGAAGTAGAGTTGGACGAAGAGGACGAGGTAGGTGTAGTACGTAGTGACTCCAACTCCTCTTCGGGGCTGTCTGAAGGTGCTGAGGAATTCCGCGGCCGCGCCAGCACTGACTCACGACTGCCGCCAAGACCAGCCAGGGCCAGACACCCAGGCCCTACGAGGACGGTCCCACCCCCCGTTAGGCGAATGAGTGTGTCAATGAAGGGTAATAATGCAAGTACCTACTAATTACACAAATTAGTCAAATATATGGTTTTACTGGACTGTGCGAACTCGCAATTAAGGAAAAATAAATAATTCTTAACAACGAATGTGTGTTTTACTCAAACTATTTACTTTCAAAATAATGAGTATATTTTTGAGAGACAAAAGTGAAATGTGTGAAGTTTTAGATTAACCAATATAAATCTTTCCATTTATATACATATATTTGTTTTATATATAAATAGATTTTATTGTTATATATTAAAATTTATAATTGATTCTAGCAATTTAATGTAGTTATTACATAGAAATTTATAATGTTATACTATGTATTTTTGGTATTATTTATTTTATGATAACAATATACCCTATTGTTATGTTATTTAAGTTAATTTCTAATATATTTATACAAGTTGAGTAAAAACAGTGTTAATAGAATTAAATTGATCAAATAAACATTTTTTTATGTGACAAGCAAGCGAAATGACGGTTCACCACATCAAGTAAGTGATAACGGCCGCCTTTGGACATTAATTTGTAACACCCGTAGGGTTCTAGCTGCGTTGCCACCTTTTAACTCACTTACCAGACGAAAGGCAAAAGTTGACACATCAACTTCACGCCGGTCTTCTGTGAGGTCATGGTAATTTCCAAGACGGACCTGCTGTTAAATATTATGCTATGTCATTTCGTTTCTATAAAATTATTTTTTATGCAGGTATATACTGAAAGTCCTAGTACCAGTAATACTGATCATAATGTAATTTAAAGGATTACTTATACTTAGAAATTGTACACTTAATTTCATTTCATAAAATGTTATCTTTCATTTCATCAAGTTTTTATCAACCGACATAAAATGGAAAGCAATTCGTTCGACTTAACTAGAGTAAGGCAAAGTTTTTAATAAACTTGAAGTATTATTTTTTAATTAGGTAGAGTTTTTCCTGTACGATCGAGAATCGAAACGAGAACATCTTATTAAGAAGAATTGACCTTCGTCAAATTTCGAATAAATTATTTGATCCGCGGAGTAACCCTATTAGTTTTGGGCGAACAAATTCCTTTGGCTCTGGCATGAAATATAATCAGTCAATCAGTCTTAAGTTTTGTAACATAATATTATTCAAAATTTACATAGCTTTTATATCATAGAAGCTTTAACTATATTTAAATGTATTGTGTCAAACGTTTTTTGAAGGTTGGCAACTCATCTGCACGTTCTCAGGTTTTGTAGATGTCCATGGGCTGCGATAATCACATAACATCAGGAGAACCGCCAGCTCGCTTGCCGACTTTTCACATAAAATATGTTAAAACTGAAAATAAAGTGAAATACAAAGTTAATAAGAAACTTTCTATTTAATTTACTCCCATTATTAGAAGTTACTGTACATATATTACTATAAAATTATATGTCTAGATGTGCTATATCTTATATGTCTGTTGTAGAGATGAGTGCTGAAATCAGTAAAGATTCAAAATACTGTTTTCTGAATAAAATTGAACTGCATTTTACTTGTGCTCTTCATTACAAAGTATAATAAATAATATTTCAAGAATCTTAGGCAATAACTTTATCACTTTGTGAAGAAATGTAATAAGTTTGTAAAATATAGCCAACGACATAAAAGGACCAACTTTGTATTGAAAAGTTTTAAGAAATTGTAAGCCAGCTTATTTGATTACCACAATTTTTGCATACGAGATCTGTGTATTATAATAAAATTCCAATTGATTATGTAAAAAAATTAATCCTGTCAATGTCAATTCGAATTTTAAAATAGTGTCAATGCAATTTTTGAGCCTTTACTTAATTATTAATATATAATAATAATATAATAACTAAAATAAATCGTTTGCCGCCACATCGTTCAGACGAGTGGTACTTTTGATGCTTCCTTTATTCATTCGTTTATGATATGGTTGGAAAAGGTGTTGACGCTAAAAGCAGTAGAATTTTCCATCAATGTTATTTGAAATGCTGCAAACTACAGAATTTAACTCCGTTGAATAACGTTATACCATCAAGCAATGGAAAAGTAGTAGACTTTTGTGTTGACCGGATAAAATATTCAGAATGGGCTCCGATATTGAACGCCCTCTGTTGTGATCTGAGTCTTCACTCAATTTCGATTCGATGTCGTCAGCAGGTTAAGACGGGTAAGTCTTAAAAACACCGAAATAATGACATAATTAGAACTAAAGACTATGAATGTTATTTGACCCAACATTATATACTACATAGTACTCACATATACACACTATATTATATTTAAAGCATGTTGGTTTTTTTATAAAATAAAAATAATTATTTTTGATATTTTTTTTGTAATAACGTAATTTTTATAGAATGTTAATTTAATAGATATTTAACAAAAATATTAACAATATCAAATACTAACTAAATTACATGTGATCTTACAATCTTAATGTAGACTATTTTGTGTTTTCATATATTATTAGGCTACACTAAAATCGTTATGTAACATGTAATTTAGTTAGTATTGAAGTTTAATAGATTGTAAGTTGTTGACTAGAACACTGCATTTTCTCGCTCAATAGTTTTATCTTAGGTTAAACCTTAAGCGAGAAACAAACCAATCAGTCCTCTTGTCACCAACGGCAGCGATAAGTGTATCACATAAATCTGTCAAAAATTTTGATGTACGGGCTCCCCACGGATTTAAGGTTACAACATGAAATGATGCAAAGATAATCTAAACAAAACGATTCATATTTGTGCCATTTATTTACTTCACCTGTCTCTGATGCCGTCCCGACCCTGACTGAACGATCCCTTGGACGAGAAGCAGCCACAGTGTACTCAATTTTTATTAGCAATTTTATTAGCAATTTTATTAGCAATTTTATATACACTTTTTATTGGATTCGAGTCTCTCGTCGTCGTGACGGGAATTGCCACAGGGCTCTTAATTTGGAGGAACGTTGATAGAAACGAGCCCTACGGATTCCGTCATGCAGAGGACGTAGCATGAAAAGCGGCCAGCACTGTTTCGACATGAAAGTCCGTAGAGACAATATTTAACTAAATTGACACATGAAGGGCATTGGTGTGGTTGACAAATTGGTTCTCCCAGACGAGATCCTACGGCAATACATGAGCTTTCATCGTCAAGTGATGTGCCCAAGTCACTTGATGTTAAATTGTAAAGCCAATTCTTTAGATGAGCTACCAGGAAAACATTGATATTTCATACTTTATATACTTTATATTGGGTTCCCTAATTTTAATCTGATATTACGTATTAAGTATTGCTATGACCAGTTGTATTAAGTATTGCCAGACATTAAATCTCAATCCACTTGCAGTTTTCAGTGCTTATTTCCTCAAGGACCTGCTAAGTGAAGGAAATAATCTAGAGAATGGGGACCGCGTGGAGAAATATATCCTAATGCGGATTGCAGCAATAGTTGATTGATGAATTGTTCCCCTATTCCCACATGATATAAATATGAGAATTTTGTCCAACAATGGGATATTTTTGCATATCGGGTACAACTTTACTTTTTCAGTACTTGAGCATATAGACTGCGAGCGTCTAGCAAAGACTGTTACCAAACGTGCGGTGGTACTTACAAACTTCATGCTCACCAATCTAATGGAAGCGATCGCTCAGATGCTCTCGGGTACAACACTCCTGACGACGTTGCTACTAGAGGGTCTACCATTAAAGATACCTTACTTGAATCCACTTTGTGAGGTATTAAAAATTATAGCAGCTAATATTACAAATCCTTAAAAGAATCCGTACGTTTTTCTTCGATATGTGACTATAACTTACTTATTGTGCCAGTGAAAAAATATTTTGGAATTTTATGATTATTTTTTTCTCAAATATATTGAAACAAAACTACGAAGTTTTATTCGAACGGTATTTTCTATACTAGATATGGAAATCCTAATCCCTTTTAGACATTTAATCCTTACTTCCTCACTAATATTATAAACGCGAAAGTTTGTATGTATGGATGGATGTTTGTTACTCTTTCACACAAATACTAATGAATGGATTTTAATGAAACTTTACAATAATATAGCTTATACGTCAGAATAAGACATAGGCTATAATTTATATACATATTTGTCGTTCTGCCTGAATGTTACGCCTTCAGCCTATTCTACGCAGACGTATTCGCAGGCAGCAACTAGTACATTATAACAGAATCAAAAAATTAGATTAAAATAGATGATCTCATTGTTGTTTACCAAATATATTAAGTATCTCATAAAACTGTCCGGATTCTCAGTCCGGAGTAACAGAAGCGCTAGTTAAAATATAATCAAATAATACATACGCACAATACTAAAGGGGAAGAACTTAAGAAGAAACAACTGCACTGAACATTAATTGCATTCCAGGCACTGTTAGTAAACAGTTCTCTCCAACACTTGTACCTTCCACGATGTCTCGTCGGAGATGCGGGCTGCCTGGCAATTTGCAAGGCGGTGCGTTGCCTCCCCAACATTCTTACACTCGACTTATCTGGGTGTGAACTGACGCCGCTTGGTGCTGGTTATTTAGCCGATTTGCTTAAGGTTTGTTAGATACACTAGATTTTACGAAAGTCGCCGAGAAAGCACTTAAACCATACCGCTAAAACAATACGCACTCTGCGTATTGTTTTATTGTTAATTATGTAGCCAATTTTTAATTTTGTTTTCATTAAGACCAGTGTTTAATTACACGTTTTGTGGGAAGATTCTATTTTTGTGTGAAAGTAGTCAATCGAGCAGGTTGTTCACCTGGATTTAAGTTATTACCACCGCCCGTGGATATCTACAACACCTCGGGGGTTGCAGATACGTTGGCAGATTTTTAAAGATGGTCTCGGGTTATCTCACTCACCAGACGTCTTTTGTGAGATTGTGCTATTTCCCCGGACGAGCCTGCCCATTCGTATAATAGCTGAGGCTGATTTGAAGCCCTACCACAGTAAAAAAACGCGTGGTATTTAATACATCTTACCTTCAATTAACTATTTATGTAAGGCTATCATCATTTTACATTTTCGATGTTTATATTATTAATGCGTCTGTCTATCAAGTTATATTGATTAATAAAATTTGATAACCGAATCTAAGATTTAATTAAAAAACATATTATTAAGAATAGGAAAGTAAAAAACAAAAAATGGTAAATTAATTAAATTATTCGGATGACGTGCAATGAGGTAGAGTCAATCATAGCGAAGATAATCTTATATTTTAATATGTAGCCTCGAAACTAAACGACGCCTCGGAAGTAATACTGAATTTAACTATAAAATATAACGCTTTTTTTATTATACATAGACGTTTTTTTATACGCCAGTACCAGAAAATCCATCGCTACAGCGAGAACTGGGTGCAGACACTGCGTTACCGGCTGCCGGAACTTGATACGATGGCAGGACTACGGCGTATCACGCTATGCGGCAACACACAGCTCACTGATAGAGGCTTTGCAACACTAGCCGACGTGTTAGCGGACGACCTATGGATCAAAGGTGCCGATACCTCCCAAACTAAACTGCATCGCCAATTAACAAGTCACAAAATACATGAAACTTTAAAAAACAATGAACGAGCGAAAACTAGTTGCTTTTTCACTTTACTGTGTACAAGTGTACAACGTCGGGAATTAGGAAACAAATTGAACAATATACTACATTCTATCGTTTTTTCTTTATTGTAATAAAACAACGATAAAACTGTAAATTTTAATAGTGCTAATCTCTGCACTTAAGGTAAAACGTTAAAATTTGTAGAAAAACATCTTTAGCCCTTTTTTCTACGAATTTTAATGTGTCATCTTAAGTGCAGAGATCACTACAATAAAAATTTAAAATTTCATATAGCAATCGGGACATCTCTCCTCCGAATTATCGTTATAGGACTATCTTAAAACTCGTTAGTATGCTGTAAGGATAAAAATATATGCGCCAAGCACAGCACAGCCCCTATATGTGTCCCACACAAGTGGGACACATATAGGCTATTCCTTTACTTCGGGCATTGGCGTCGTATAAGAAGAAAAACGTTTTTTCTATACATTGCTATTAACACGCTATACGTCTCCCGCCAGCTCTGGATGTTCAGAACTGCGGGCTGACGGAGCAGAGCGTGACCGCAGCGCTGCGAACGATGCAATCCAACAGCACCCTGGTGGTGTTGGACTTGAGACACAATCCAGACGTTAGCATCGAATCCGTCTCAAAATTACGGGCGGCTCTTAGGAACAACGAAAGGGGCATTGCCAGCCAGGTAATACTGTGAATGACCTGATGAAAGCGCTTTTGTTGCCGATCCCTACTAATCTTCAAAATTATGCTATGGTGTTTTTTGTAAAAACATAAACACATAAAAACGGAGTAACGGATCTAGTTGTTTCATCATAATCAACAGATCAAGGGCTGGAGAGGTTTTAAAGAACACTTGTGTACTACAAAATAAATTGTATTTTTAGGGTTCCGTACCCAAAGGGTAAAACGGGACCCTATTACTAAGACTCCGCTGTCTGTCTGTCGGTCTGTCTGTTTGTCTGTCTGTCCGTCTTGGACAGTTCAAATTTTCACGGATAATATATTTCTGTTGCAGCTATAACAACAAATACTAAAAAAAATAATGAATAAATATTTAAGTGGGGCTCCCATACAACAGACAAATTTATTTTGCTGTTATTAAATATAATGGGTCGTGCGCGATTCTGACCCGCCCTTGGCCGGTTTTTTTATAATAGCTTCTTGCCCGCCTTTGATCTGGAATTTCGCATCCATGCCTAAATATTTTTTCTCTTTCCAGTATTCGTGGTTAGCTGGCACATCCAGTGACGGGAGATCAGTTAGGTCAATAGGAAATAAGTAAGCGACCCGAAATCAAATTCTTTACACTTAATAAATGTTATTAAAAACACGTACTTTTTAAAAGCGCTATTAAAATCAAATAATTCTGATATTGATATACTTATCCACAGTCGCATACACTTAATCTAAGTTTGTTATTATTTTTTACCAGGAATGGTATGGTAAAGGAGCGAGTAGCATCAACCGTAAGAAATATGCCAAATAAGTACAGCAACAAGATAAATGTAGTGAAAAAAGAAAAGTAAGTTCGTTGAATTTTTTATTTACTTTAGGGTCTTCAGCCTAAATTCCCAACAATTTGTGGATTTCGTGGATGTGTGTTCTAAAACTTTCACACTCAAATATTTGGTTTTTTTTATTGGCTAAAGGAAAATTTCATTTCTTAAAACGTACAAAACATTAATAAAATATAATACGACGTTACAATGAACGACTCAATCTCACCAGTAAGAAATCTACATATTTTAACTTTAACAGCAACGTACTTAAATACTACATAAAAATAGATAACTAATTTACGACTTCGTGTAAATAATAAGAATTTATATTGAGCGCCGAGTTATGAAATCGATTCCCGTACATAACAACATTTGCCAAATCCACAAATAAAAGTTCTTAGTTTTTTCAAAGACTCGGAACTTCGAAAGAGAGTACTTTTTGTCATCGCTTTTCGTCAAAACAAAACAAAGAATAAGAACGCCGCGTTTACAAATTAACTATGATTGTGAAATATTTTATGTATCTGCGTTGTTAATATTTTATTAACATATTATTGTTTTAAAAAAAGATTTTCTATTTCGACACTAATAATGCACATATGAGTCTTAACTTCATGCTTTCATCATACGTTGTCTATTATATATTAAGATTGTCGTATAATAAGAATTAAGATACGTAATGGATTCTCTTACACAATAACAAAAGCTGATATTATGATTCTTCTCCCGTTCAACATGAAGAGATTACACGGAAATTCTAGAAGAGCAACTCCAAGACGAGATTTCACATCGGCAGCAACTAGAGGAACTGAACATTCAGCTGATCGACCAGATGAAACAGTTGAAGCAACAGCAGATGCGTTTGTGGGCCAACGCAGCCAATTCGTCAGGTACATTCCAGTTGACCGAAACACCGCTTAGCGTAAAATATATCGAAACTAGTCACCTACCCTGCCTTCGCATGGCTGCAATGTAAATACTACCCCTTACTCTTTAAACACTATCAATTCAATTCTCTATCACCATTCTCGCAATCTAAATATTATCAGTTATGATAAAAGTCTTAGGAATCAAAGTTTTAAACTTTATGTTAGAAACTGTTGATAAATATGACTTTGTGATTAATGTTCTTGATTATGCTGTAACCAGTGACGGCATTATAAACCGTACCGCGTGGCGGTTTTAAGAACGTAGAAGTCAACCCTAAAATCGGCATGACCGAAAAAAATATACTTATTTGTTAATTCAACTAAGTATTTGAAGTAACAAATAAGTTAATTTCTGTTTAACGGTTTTCATGTTTTATTAATTAGTTAGCTCACTGGCTGTAATACAGGATCCTCGAATACACGTGTTGTGATATAAAATGTTAGTAGTCAGGTTATAATATAAAGTGATAATTTTGGTTGATCTTCATGTTAAGTCTTTTTATAAGACTTTGGGACGTCTCTGTAATAGTTCTAAATCTTATTCAATAGCCTTGAGTGAAGCATTACCTTTTAAAAAAAGGAACATAAACAGTGGAGACATTTCCCAATCATTCTATTGATCGCACCTCTAATTTATTTACAAATTTATAACACGTATATTATTCCAAAATAGTTATCACAGCTATCCCACGTAACTGTTTTCTTTTCGCAAACCGTCGAAGCTTAAAAAAGCATTTACTAAAAGCGGGATGATATTCAAATTTGCTATTAAAATCGACAGGTTCGGAACAGTCGTTGGCGCCGAGCTCTTTATCGGGCGAGTTGTCCAGCAGCTCTGGTTCATCGCGTTCAGTGCCCATTGAGCAGAGCACGCTCTCCTACATACAGCAGGCATTCCGTGACATTTATGCGTTCATTAAGAACAACCAGTGTCATGGGTGGGTCGATGTTGCTACAATTAAATTATATTAGATAATATCCCTCCTAAAATCATTGTCCTATTTTTTTTTTTTTTTTTGGAGAAGTTGGCAAGCCACCAGATGTTGAGTGATAACCGCCAAGCATTACCAAAATCTGTAGAGTTGCAGAGGCGTCGCCACCTTTTAATAATGAGGGCTGCCTCGGTCACCAAACAAAATGCAGTGATACAAAACTTCCACTCCACGCTGGTCTTCTGTGAGATTGTGGTACGTACCAGCGTGGCCCGACCACAGATAAGTCCTATGAAGGCAGGGTGTGCAAATAAAAGAGTCTAAATATGATCATTCAAATAGACGCTTGCGCGTTCTTATGAAACGTCGAATTATACCTAAAAATTGATACAAAAATTCGTGTTTAACTTACCATCGACGATTTCGGAAAGTTTTCTATTGAGAAGAGACCGGCAAGAAATTGCACCTTTACTAAAAAGATCCGTTTACGATGTTACATAGGTATACTAGTCTTATTTTAACCTACGTATCAGCAGTATTAACTCCACACATGGACGAAGTCGAGATGTAATTATACTTAATAACGCTTTAAAATTTGCATTCGAAAACCCTTGCTTTTTGTTTTACGTATGTTTATAAAAATGGACTTCTTATTTATCTATGGACAGCAATCTGTACTTATTTTAAATAATAAAAACAATGAAGTAAAAATATGTTGTAGAAAATGCCTTAATGAAAAACCAGAGCTTCTGACGACTAAAGTGACAGAAGTTGAGGAAACGGAACAATCAGGCTTGGCCGCAGTCATGTTACCAAAGAAAGCTCCGAGCACACCTTTGAAACTGCTAGAAAGCACGCGGATGAAAAAGATAACGAAATCCGCCCATTTACTTGGTGAGATACAGCATACGAGAGAGGATATCGAAATGGTCTGGTTACTTTTTATTTCAATTAGAAAAATAATTAAAAACAGTTCGTTTTGTAGCTTTGCTTTATAGCTGTGAAGTAAAGTAACAGCCTATATTTCCCATTACTGGGCAAAGGCCTCCTCGGTACAGGGAGTATTACACCGTGGATTGCGGACTTCACATCTTCTAAATATTTTATTATTATTATATCGATAATATGCAGGTTTCGTCCCTATGATATTCTTCAGCGATGGACACGTGATAATCCAGTACTAAAAATTTCAATAAAAGATTTCATTGTTGTTGATGGGTTGTTGTATTAAAAGTGAATATTGAAATATTAAATTAAAAGCGAACTCCTGGACACTGAACTATGACGGTTGTAATAGGCTGTGAAAAATAATAATAAAATTAATATATTTCTACCAAAACAAAGTCCGCCAATCCGCAGTGGGGCCGCGTGGGGGACTATGCCCTGATACCCTTTGTACTGAGGAGGCCTTTGCCCAGCAGTGTGACATGTATACGCTGATACTTTACTTTTTTACTTTACCAAAACAAAATTATAAGGTCGACCCCTTAAGACGTTAAGGGTTATTCTTTCAGAATTCCGATATGTTCGAGAAACAAATAGGAGATACAAGAGACACAAACAATGTGGATTTGAATGCTTTGGGTGAAATCGTCGCAGGACAGAATAAAGGAAAAAAGGTAAATTACATTTTTGTAATGAAAGTGAAAAGAAACTGAAATCTATTTCCATTTTCAGTGTTACTTCTCACTTTGCACCCGGCGAGTGTCATGGCAAACATTACTTTCATTATTCCTGCATACATTTGAGCATTGTTGCTACTTTCACTACTGCAAGTTCCCACGTCACAAATGTCTGTCGGAACTAATCTACCGACCTATTCTGTGACAGATCTGCATAATTAGTTGGTACGCGCAAGCGCAGAACATGTAAACTAGATTTATGACCGGTTTCAATATTCTATCTACAGATAGGATTGATTCCTAGCGATAGGTATTTGACATTAACTTCATAATACATACTTCAAAATTCTATCTCCAATAACCAAATCACTGATGGGTTTGATCCTTCGGTCGCCCTAGGCCTATACAAGATTGAGATTAAGCACGAAAATATTAAATGAAGTATAGGAATAAAAAAGGAAAATGGTACCTACTCATCATGGCCGCTTGATTTATTACAAGTTTTACGTATCATCTACGCGAAGGAACAAGAGGCGAAAAGCGCGACTAAAAAAAATCCCAGTAAGTTTCACCGCCCTAGGCCTACTTTGCCTATAGGGAAATCCGCCCCTGAACCAAATCTATCTGTAGATAGAATATTGAAATCAGCCGTTAGGTAGGTATAAGCAACGAAAACCGTGTAATAATGGTGGGAAGGGGAAATCCGTAATTTGTCTACACCATTAAGCGTGTCAACCGTAAGTTCACGGAAGGTAATATAAAAATTTTGTATGTCTTTAACAAAGGGCAATATAAACGAGCGTAGCCCATGTGGGAGTATGGTGAGCGACTCGTCGGACACGCTGGTTTGCTCGCCCGCGCCCAACCCACGCGACGCTTTCATCTCTTCTGATGAGGAAGACGACAGCAACTGATGTTTTTGCTACATGTTTACACAGTTTTTTTATGAAGATTAAACGAGTTTGGTTACACTTCGAAGTTTCGATTTACATAACTTTTTTTAAATGCTCTGTTCTTCATAATCCCGGCGCCATTAACCCTATCACACAATACGAAACGTCCGTCCTCTACGTCCTTCACATAAGCTGACTGTCAACGAGGTTCCACACCTTGTTAAATCTCGCTCTACATACGGCAGAAGACTTGTCTCGTTGAAAAAACTCGCTCGTGCTGATCTGCTGAACGTTCTCATATTATGCAGCTATTTAAATAACATAAAAAAATATTAAATATAAAAGTAAGTTGTGTACGAGCACTCGTAATTTTAAACAGATTCATAAAACTTAAGTCAATCGTTAGAATGGTAATTCCAAGTTTTTACTGCTGTAGGTAAAGATTATATATAAAAATATCTATTACCAACTACAGAAATGAACAACTGTAGAATTGTTTTACTTCTGCGCTTCAACTGATGAGTCATGTGACCTTAATTAAAAGGTGGTAACGCATCTGCATGTTGGAGGTGTCCATGGGCGGCAATTATCACTTACCATCAGGTAAACCACCAGCATACTTGCCACCTTCTCACATAAAAAGAATTTCTTCAGGTCTTCAGAAGTTTAAGAGCTGGTGAATTTGTAACCTGATTAATTGCACTGCTGTACAAAATCAACAAAGATTTTGCACAAAAGTTCGGAGAAGTCGGAGAGTTGCGGACTCTTCACATAAGTATCATATTGACGATAGCCAGTGCATTGAGTTAAATTCAAAAACATTAAACCACTCATCTTTACTATTGATCATCATCCGCTAAAGCATTAATATAATAGGGTAGTTCTGGAAAAAATACAGAAGGTATAAAATTGACAGTGCGTTTGCTACAGTTGTATCGAGTCCGCGTCTGTATTTGAGAATAAACAGAGGAGAGGGAACAGAGGTGACTATTAGAATAATTTCGATCCCCGTACGACATGTTGTCGCCGTGGCACTCACAACCATGACCTCGGCGTCTGGTATCGGTTGTTCGATTCCCACACGTTATTTGTATCTTATCTATAAATATATCTTTAGCTGTGCCCGGTTCATCAGCACGATTTCAGGCTTGTAGGGACGGAGCGTACCAAGTAGAGCCTGGCGCTGACATTTTCTAAAACAGCTGCCCGGATTTACTTGTAATAAGGCAATCTCTAAACCACTACACACGTAAGTGAGGTAGAGCTCTTGAGAGCATGGAGGATGACTACTATATTGTGTCAAAACCGGTCGGGAATTAAAAATTAAAAGATAAACGCGATAAAAACCGTAAAAATAGCTTTCACTACTGTTTAGAATTCGCGTAAATATGGCAAGAAGTTATCAGGTACTCCTGGAAGCTGGCGAATGTACAGCCAATTCCAAAAAAGGGTAGTCGTGCCGATCCTACCAATTAAAGACCAATTTCAAGTAATAGTTAAAATATTAGGATCAAGGTAAAAATGTTAGAACTCTTATATATCTGGGCTGGGGCTGCAAAATGTCATCAGGCTGCCTTGGACTCAATGGTGAGGCATGCGGAAAGGTCTCATTGGTGACCATCATCATCATCATCATTTCAGCCTGTTTGAGTCCACTGCTGAACATAGGCCTCCCCCACAGACTGCCACGAAGTACGATCCTGAGCCACCTGCATCCATCGACTTCCCGCACATTTGCACAGGTCGTCACTCCATCTAGTGGGGGGGGTCGTCCTACACTGCGATGGCCAGTACGAGGCTGCCACTCGAGAACCTTTCTTCCCCAACGGTTATCGGTTCTACGGGCTATATGGCCGGCCCATCGCCACTTCAGCTTGCTAATCCTCTGAGCTATGTCGGTTACCTTGGTTCTACTGCGGATGTCTTCGTTACGAACTCTATCACGCAGAGAAATACCGAGCATAGCCCGCTCCATAGCTCGCTGAGCGACTTTGAGCTTCCTCATACGGCCAGCAGTGAAGGACCACGTCTCGGTTCCGTAGGTCATCACTGGCAACACACATTGATTGAAGACTTTAGTCTTCAAACATTGAGGTATTTGGTGACCATAACTTGTTTAAAACCAATCTCACTAGCCTTGAGCACAGGCGCAGAGTAGCCAACTTCTCGGTTTTCTACAGGATACATTTTGGAGTGTGCGTTGGAGTTACATGATCTTATTCCTCTCGCCCCTTTCCATCATCGGACAACCAGGCGTACGGCGGAGCTCCACCCTTATGCTGTCGACGTTCCACGTACAAGAACAAAGCGATTAGCTTCTTCATTTATCATCTGTACAGCTAAGGAATGGAATAGCCTGCCGGCGACCGTCTTTCCGTCCGAATACAACGTAGGCGTTTTCAAGGCATGTGTGAATAGGTTTCTACTGAGCTAGCGCGCTTACCATCAACGGCTGCATCGCCACTTACCTTCAGGTGGGATAGCAGTCAAGTGCTAGCCAGTTATGGAATAAAAAAAGGTAGGTACTCAGTGTTAAAAAGCACCGAACAATCGCAGATGCCACAGGCTCGAGTGACTGTTTTTTCACACTTTACGAAATTTAGTAACATCCAACCAAGAAAATATTGTCTTATAGTCAAATATGATAATTATTTACGTCTTCGACAAAACAAATATGAACATCGGAACTTATAGTATTAAGTTTGAGACAATGCCAAATTCTACGCATGGAAATATTAAATTATAAAAATAAATAGGTGATAAAATAATGAAAATATTGCTATAATACTAAATAAAGCTCATTAAATTAAAAACTAAACTAGATAAAAAATGCTGCTCCAGAAATGGTAACCAAGCGCGATATCTGGTTAATTTTGGTTTGGTACGCCCATACTAAGGTGACACTGAAAGTTTTTAGACCTGGCCAGTTCGAAACATTGCCAATGAAAACTTCTTTTAAAGAGTATATTGAACACTTTGGTAACCTAATGTGCTTGCTGTATTAGAAAACGGAGAAAACAATAGTCTAAATCGCAATTGCATTCTATTGTGCACCGTAGCGAAACAGCTGTATTGGAAAAAAACATGCGTGAAAGAGAAATATATAATCATTTTTTGTCTTTGTTGTTGTAACTATATATACAAATAAATATAAATTAATACAGTTTGATATCAAGCTTTGTTGACAGCTTGATGTCCAACATTCCCGTAATTGGTTTTTCGTTCTTTTTCCTACAATATAACAACAATATTGACATCTTATTGTAATGTTGATGACTCCGTGGCGCAGTTGCCAAGGTATTGGCTTCGGCGTCGGGGGTCGTGGTTTGATTGCCACACTGGACAACAATTTGTGTGACCCGCAGATAGTTGTTTCGCATCTGGGTGTTTGTCGGTTTTGAAATTTATGTTTGTAAAATGTCCTTACAACACAGGATATACAATATTATCCTAAAGTAAAGGCAATGTTTTAAAAAAAATCCATGATTGTACAAAGTTCATAAATCGTCATAATGGTCCAATCTCACTGTCAAACGACAAAGAGTTAGATACTCGAATTGGTAAAGCATCGACCACGCACGATCCAAGGGCGGATCAGATGAAGGTGCGAACCTGTGAGGCCTACCCGGAGGAAGGACTAAGGTTGAAATTGCGATTTAATCCCGAGATGACTGATGAATCTCTGATGAATCCGATATAGACTTCTCACTTCGCACAATCGCTTATGAATCCAAACAATTATTCAGGAGAGCAATTTGTTTACGAGATTTGTTCATCTTTATTATCATGCGAATTATAGAAGTCGCATGTGTCGCGATGTTACGAAGAAGACGCTGCTTAGTTGCACTTTTCTATGGAAACGGATATGTAACATGCGTTAACAGTGTTTACAATGTTAATAAAAACAATTCATTCACAAAAATATCGTCTAAAAAATAAAAGGTTATATTAACTGTGATTAATTATACAATCTGGAGTGGTGGAGCCTATACCACCAACTATAATTTATTACCAAACCAACAATGGTAAATATTAATTAATCATAAAGCATAGGCCATAACCTCAGAATTATACAATTTGGGCTGCTATATCGAGCTTTTAATTTTACCCTAGTTTTCAATAGTGAAAAGTATATCTATAGACATACGACATTTATTACTCTTAATATTTTATTACAGATTTCCATGACGTGAATTACGGGTAAAGATTTAGATTCAAACATTCAATAAATTAATTTGATTTATCTGGTTGAATTTTATTTAGTACCTAAAAGTTTAGTATCTGTATGTTATAATAACATACTATATAATATAAAATAAACTACCTATAATATACCTACAAACACATACATACTAAAATAATAAGTTAGAAAGAAAGAAAGAAAGAAAGAAACATTTATTTGGCACATAACACAAAAAAATAAAACATATGCTAAAAAGTAAATACCTATGATTAGAATGAACCAAAATGGTCACCACTCAGCTTCATATCACGAAGTTAGGTCTGATCTAATTGTGTGTATGTTTATTACCATCTGTCTTTCAATAGCTGAACAGATTTTAACTAAATTTGGTACTAGAATATCTTAAGTCCTGGAATAACACATAAATAAAATACTTTTTATCCCGGAACTAAACAGATTAATTTGGAGCTACTTACGAAACATACTAAGTATTCAATTATATACAGCGTGTCGTTACCATCGCGACAATAAATGAACACACATATAGGGGATAAATTTTTAAAGTTGTATTAAACATTTAAATTCTTTAAACATCAATATTTACAATTTTCGAAAACAAAGAATTTTAGAACACTCTTACCTATAAAAGCGTAACGTAAAGTTCATTTGTAAAGGGCACAAAGCACATGAATGGGTTGAATGAATTTAAAAGAGACAAAACACACTGTTAGAAGGAGAGGCTTGTAATACGACGTTGTGGCGCGAGTTGTATAGGATGTTACAAATTTTGTTTCTTTTTTACTTAATTAGTTTGTTTGAAAAATATTTTAAATTAATTATGGATTTTGTTTAACGTTAATATAATTATTTTTTTATGATTATTGGCAAGTAGCGTTAGACGTGTGTTCCAGTAGTGTGTGTAAACGTAGTGATTACATTCTCTTTGGTGTGTTCATTTATTGTCGCGATGGTAACGACACGCTGTATATCTGTATATCATTAATAACAGTCTTGCAGAAATGCATCTCGACTGAAATTGGATTGGATTTTTATTATTTAGTTGAACCTCAAAAGTCTCACAACAATAAAGGTCTTCAACACAAATAAAGGAAACATTCTAAAAATAAGAAAATTTGAAAAATAAGGTAATTTTTTTATCGTGTTGACTCAGGACCGTAATTTTATACACCTATAGACCTCAGTATCAGACCTCGTAAATCGAATCGAGTCTGTAAATAATCACATTTACCACTTTTATTATGGTGATATAATTTGTAGGTACGGAATACTCGGCGTACGAGTTCGACTCGCACTTGATCGGTTTTTTATGGAAACATATTAAAGTGGCAATTAGTGTTGTAGAAACTCGATAGTTTGACTACCGGTACAGATAGCATTGTCTTAAGTCAATACTATCGATAGTATTGATAGTTATTCTTCCGCTATAATATTTATAAGAGCCGTACTATCTATAATAATGCATTCGATATTATCGATGGTATCGATAGTATTGTAAAAACCATTAGTCTTTACCAACACCGATCAATGTTTTGGACATAACCAAAAGTACAATTTTGGTATCAGCAGAAGTTTATATCAGACACTGCATGAAAATATTCCTGATATAATTTTAAAGTGAAAACTTATAAAAAAAAGATGTAAGACAATAAAGAAGATTCTTAGTGATAAGTCTATTAAATTTGCCTTTAATTTATAACTATGAATGAATAAACATTAATTTCAATAACTTTTAAGCTTTTTCATTTAGCTGTACATTCTTCTGGTTGTAATTTAGCAATCATCATCTTCTCTTTGGCCTCCAGTTTTGCCTGTCTTTCCAATTTCTTTTGTTCTTTCTCTCGTTTTGCCAACATTTCTTGGAACCTTTCATCTCTCGGATCTAGGGTAAAACCAAAATGTCTTCTAACTTCTTCAACAAGACGCTGTTTTTTGAGCTGAAATTTGTTTTATTCATATATTATTTAATTTTACAAAAACGTATATCAACTCATGTAACAAGGAACTATGCACAAATCATATCAGTATGATATTAACTTTACCTTTGCTGCCTGAACATCTGCCTCTTTTTTGGCAAGTTTTGCATTTAATTCATTCTTCCACTGTTCTAATTTTTGAAATTTAGCAGCAACATCTTTGTCCCTCTGTTCTATTCTTACTTGTTCTTCCTTTCTTCGTTGGGCAGCTGTTTCCATCATTTCTTTAATTGTATAGGGAAAAGCTACTGCTTCATACTCTTGCCTTTCCTCAATTTCTTGTCTAGTGGGCCAGCAAAGACCTGCAATCATTAAACGCTCAAATAACAAACAAATAGGACAATACTATTTTCATACTTATAGCGGGATTGCTTTAGTATCCGGTAGCACGTGTAGGAGAGACGGATGGGGGGGCAGGAAGGAGGGGTGCATCCCCTTTAAGGGGGGGGGGGGGGGGAAGCCTACTGCCTCACGACAGTAATGAAACTGGTTGGCTATAGTGGCCATTGAGAGGGATAGTCTTGTGTAGTTAGCGAACGATGAACAAATAGGAAATGTATCTTTGAACATTTCCATTTGGAAGTTAAGAAACATTTCCATTTGGAAATGTTTCTTAACTTCTTGATAACTGTTAATCGGTCTAATAGCTCTTTTGTGCTTTCCATGCATCTATCAACACTAGTTATTGGTACCAAACAAAACAAACACAACTGATCGCTGAGAGAGAGAGACAGAGAGTCGAACAGTGAGTGGTGACCGAGTAAAAGAGTATATCGGTGGTGACACAACAAATTTTGTTGTCACTGACCAAATAAATTGGTTAAACTGTGACTATAGATATTTATGTTGTATACCAATGTAGTAACAACTAATTTAGCTTAACGACGCATAAAGGCGGAAGACTCATGTGTATTGTCTATAAGTACATGTTATTATACAACGTGTCTTTACAACCGCGACAATAAATGAACACACATATAGGAGATAAATTTTTAAAATTGTATTAAACATTTACATTCTTTAAACATCAATATTTACAGTTATTAAATTTTCCAAAACAAAGAATTTGAGAACATCCTTACGTATAAAACTGTAAAGTTCATTTGTAAAGGTCACAAAACATAATTATGAATGGGTTGAATGAATTTAAAAGAGACAAAACATACTGTTAGAAGGAGAGGCTTGTAATGCGACGCTGTGGTGCTAGTTGTATAGGATGTTACAAATTTTGTTTCTTTTTTACTTAATTAGTTTGTTTGAAAAATATTTTTTTTAAATTATGGATTTTGTTTAATGTTAATATTTTTTTATGATTATTGGCAAGCAGCGTTAGACGTGTGTTCATTTATTGTCGCGATGGTAACGACACGCTGTATATAAACAATTAACTTTGACTATCATACAAAATTTGTACATTATTACATACAAATTTTGTATGATAGTCGAAGTTAATTAATTAAAATTATAGTGGATTTTCATTTTTTGAATACTATTAATGGTTCTTTAGACAGTTTTTATTTTCATGTGCTGTGGATTATTATGGGACGCTTCAAAGTTTGTTATTGTTACAGTAAATATTTTTTATGGGACTAACATTATTGTTGTTTTATTGTTTTGTTTTCTAGATCAACTTAAAAAAGTATAGACTTATATTTTGATCCAGATTAACTGTTTGTGTTTGTGTATGAGTGTTTGACACATTATTGTATCGTTGCTTTTAATGTCTCAGCAAAGAGTAACTTATGGTTGCATTTAACACAGACAGCCTAAGCCTGTGTAAGTATGATGGCAAATCAAATATGTAATATATTAAGGTAATATTTGCTAACAATAACACTATAGCTAATATTGGTTGAATAATCTTATGTACATTCAAAACTTTAGAATTTTCATATTTATTTACTTTATTCAGTACATAGAATAAGATTCAGTGTGATATGAGATGATCATATTTTTAAAATATACTTTACACAATATGTTGTATCTTTATCATACATTCTAGATCTATCTGACCAAATCCAAAGAAATAAGTAATGTAATAATGGAATATAAGAAATAATAAAAATTATTATTTCATTATTAAATTTGCCTCTTCCATACGCTTTGCCAGAACTGGACTTGACCTCCGCTACGGATCAGGACCTCCAACACGAGGTTTTGGCTCCGTCTTGTTATGATCACTCTAGGCGTAGAGACAACAAGATCATATGGAGTCAGGGTGCTCTGTGTCGGATTTTTGTTATTTTTCTTTATAGTTCTCTATAATTTTCTTTTTTTTGTTCCTATATCGGAAGTAGTAGCCTGCTCAATTTTATCTGATTATGATAAATACTTACTTGGATTAACACCACTGGAAGCACCGTATTTTCCATACATTTTACGATGATACTTAACAGTGAGATGGGCAAGTGATTTTGGTGTTTCATAGGGTCGTTTTCCATTTACTAAATTATAATGTGCTTCAGTTAGCCTTGACTTGTTTCGTTTCTTTTCAATTTCAGCCTCTCTTACCAAAATATCGTCTGTTTCATCTACCAAAGCAACTTGTTCATTCTGTTCTATTTCCTGAGAGGTGGCAAATTTGCGAAGTGACGCCGACAAAGTAGGTCTAATTGAATATCTTACACATAAATTCATTTTTAATTTATATAAATATCATCTACTCAGAATAAAAAGGTTATAAAATTAATCTTTTTTTTATTTTCAGTATATGTCTTATATAGGAAATTAATCCGTCCAAGAGACACAAGTTGTCAAATTCTGTTTTTTTTTTTTGGATTTTATGGCCCCGTTTCAAGGTCCTTTAGGCCAAAGTCAACTTAATAATTAATGTCATGATTGTACTTATCGTAACAGACGCGTATTTATCGTAACAGGAAAATGTAACACGTATTTCGGGATAACAGACTGTACCTGTTACGAAGAAATTTAAATAACAGTTCCTGTTCCACAGAAATTGTTCCATAGCACGCTGTCACAAGCTTTTCTTTATTCATGCTTACGACTGTTACCTTAGTTCGAAAGAGATCAAAACTGTTACACCTTTTCACAGTTGTTACTGAACATTGTCACTGTTACAAGCTCTTTCTTTTTCGTGCATCGATCTTATAGCTTTGTTAGATATAGAATTATGGACATCACTATAGAGTAACATAATGTAATAGACAAGAACAGATGACGGAAAAAGTGGTGGTCGTTTAGCTTACAGATAAATACTTAATCTCTATAGAGAAACTTGAAGACGGTACCTTATTCTTAACTCTAATAATAAGTTTTTGACAACTGTAGGCGGCGATAGCGTTTTCTCCGTCTACGATATTAAGCGTAGTTTCATCTTATTATTTCTAGTTACTAACATATCAACTAGGGATGCCGAAAAAATATCGGTACTAAGTAACGGTTTTCTAGTATTGTCGCGGATCCAGTGTTGGATTTTGTACGTATTTATACTACAATTTCATGCTTCGTACTTTATATTATCCATAATTATCAAAGGTACAACATGATATAGAGGTGTTACAAATAATTAATATTGAACTACATGTTAAACTTCTTTATAAATAGCATGCAAAATAATAATGATATCAACTAAAGTTACTTTCATTTAATATTTAATAAAGTTAATAAAATTAAATTTTCAATAATGAAATGTCACATTTATAATATAATTTTAAGTTTTTTTTTTAAATAATTTACGTATAAAATTATTATCATCTATCCACATAACTCCGAGAAAGCTGTTATGTAATAGAGTAACACGAAAATTACATGTAACTTTTAAATTGTCGTTCAGCATTTCACTTAAATCAAACAACTATTACTAAAATCTGCTGATCTAGGCCTGTCTTTTAGGACAAGTCTCTGCGGTTTCCTTTTTGAACCGTTTTTAACTTCATTTTAAACATTTTTTTTACAAAATTACATGTTTTTTTTATTCTATTCAGACCTAAAGAAACTGATTTATTTACTAGACAAGCTGTTTGTTTTTTCCAATGAGTAATTAATAACAGAAATTTGATTTAAATAATTAATGTTTTATTAAAATTTCTCATTCATTAAAATAATGTGAATTTGGTATAAAATTACTATTACTTATTACTGAATCGGACTGAACTAAATACATTATTTTTTAAAACTGAAAATTTTACCGATATAAAGATGATTTTTTTCGATACATCGTGGCCGATATAATTTTTTTTTGTAAATATCGATATAACGATATATTTCTTGACTTTCGCATCCCTAGTAAAACTAATTTTATTTGTATCTGTTGTCAGTTGTCAATTAAAGGTTACAATTTTGGAACTGTTAATTCATATTGCGTTTGTGATCAAAGAGAAGAGTACTTTATTTAATTATTTATCGTGTAAGTTGTAGGTATTGTGAATAGTGATTGTAATCTGTCGTGTATTGTTAAGTTAATGATTCTTTAGTATTCATTTAAGTTCTAATTCTAATCTCTCGTCTAATGCACTTCATCTGAATGCATTAGGATCCATACCACAATGACAAGACATGCAAGAAATTGTACAGCTGGAGCCGTATATACGTATCATGAAAAGAAAAAAGATGCTGCAGCGTCTGGCTACGGCACTCAGAGCGAAAGGGTTGGGAAAGATTCAGTGAAAAATTTCGACTGTTGTAGTTTAACTTTGCAACCGTGTAGAAATCCAGTTGTTACAAAAGAGGGTTATTTATTTGACAAAGAAGCTATTTTAGAGTATGTCATTACAAAGAAAAATGAATATACCAAAAAATTAAAACAATATGAGAAACAAATGAAAAAAGAGGAAATGGAGAAAAAAGAGCTAGCAAATGCAGAAAAAGAAGCAAATTTGATTAAATTTATGAGCAGGGAAAAGAACATTTCAAATGCTGGTAAAGATTCAAATGATCAACCATCAACTTCAGTATCAAATTTAGCAAATGGTAAAAATAAAGAATTGCCCAGTTTTTGGGTCCCTTCCCAGCTACCAGATGCAAAAATTTCAAAGGTGGGAAAGCCTGATCCAACGGTATATTGTCCTATAAGTGGAAAACCACTAAAAATAAAAGACTTAATACCAGTACAATGGACTTTAGTAAATGACCCTGATGACAAAAAGTCACTTATTGCGAAAGAGAATAGATATATGTGTCCAGTGACACATGACATACTAAGTAATGCAGTTCCCTGCGCAATTATCAGGTTTTTCATGTTAATACTTATATTATTGGATGTTTAATGGATGGATGGATGGTATTAGTTTCCTTAAGTTTCGGGGTGTTTTTTGACGTAAAAACATTTTTTTTCGGTACAGAAAAATCATTAATAAAATATTCACCAAGCAGAATTTGGCGGTTGCTTATAGTTTTTGAGAAAAAAAAATTATTTAAAACATAATTTTCACTAAGAAAGTTCACCATTTTACCAATTTGACTTCAAAAACTGAATACACAGTGCCTCCAACATGACAAATATAGGAAGTGGGTGAAGATTAATTTTCCTTTAAATTAAAGAGTGACAGATCCGACTCGTATAGGTTAGGTTAGAATAGGGGTGAGCAACCTTTTTAATCAATGGGCCAATTTAAATTTCAAATTTTTTGGCGGGCCGCACATAATAATTTACGAAACTTTATTTGTAATAAATATTAGAAAAAAAAAATATTAAATTAAAAAAAGTAAAAATTTCATATTAAAAGTTTTTAAATAACAAGTTTTAAATTTTTTTTTCTCAAAAACTTTAATCGACCACCAAATTCTGCTTTGATTATTTCATTAGTGATTTTTCTTAACCAAATAAAATTTTTGTTTCGTCGAAAACACCTGGAAACTTATGGAAATTATTACCGTTTAATAGTACTTAAGTAAATCTTACTGTACTAAAAGCTAAAAGCTTGTTTGCACACCACAAATTGATTTAAAAAAAACAATTTGTTAAATAAGCTGTAGTAATGTACTCATCAGACATATTAACTTATGTCAAATGAGATCATAAAACTACTTTCCCAGTGATTGACAGTATTCAGTGCCACACTGACCATATTTAACCATGGTGAAATTTCTAAATTACAGTGATATGACTGCTGTTGAATAAATGGTTGGAAAGAACCACTGTATCACAGAAAACTTGTGTGAAATGTGTTTTATACAATTTATCTAGTATGTGGTGTAACTGGGCATAACCAACTCTTCTTAATAGCAACCCCACAAGAGTATAAATATCCATGGGCGCTGGTAATCACTTTCAGTTAAACCTCTTACTTGGTTGCTATCTTTTCAAATAAATAATGAAAGTTGGTAAGATGAATAGTAATAAACAATTTTTTATTATCTTTTAAATTAAACATTCTGATTCATGTTTTTCACCCATAAATCAAAGAACAATTTTTATATACATGCATACTTGCTCTTTTATTGATTTGTCAAATCCCTTCTGACTTATTAGAAACATATAAAGTTTTGCAAAAATCACAAATTCCGTTCTGGTTTATTGAGCCAAACGAAATGAAATTCATGTTAGATATTTTTTATAATGTATTTTATAGAACAACTGGACATGTGGTGACTATGGAGGTGGTTGACAAAATAATAAAAAAGGATTGGTTGCATCCCCTTACTGGTGAAAAATTAAAAGAGAAAGACATTATACCACTGCAAAGAGGAGGAACTGGATATGCACTAACAAATCAAAATTTAGAAGGGAAAAATGAACGGCCAGTGTTACAAGCATGATTTCTTTTGTAATGTTATGAATAAAAAATTGTGAAATAATTTGTTTTATTGGAGATTAAAAAATATATACATATTATGATAATCTTACCGTAGATAGGTCTATAAATTTAAAATTACTGTGTGAATGATAAATTATTTGTAGTTTCAAAAAAATTGCACTTTCCAAATCATTTCATATATTTAAAAATAAAGAAAAATAAAGTATTTTTATTTCTATACAAATCTTACAATTAATTTTTGTTATCAAGAATTATTAAATGAGAACAAATCTAGTTGAAAATCAACTGTGCTATTTCTAATTTCAGTCTCGGGATAAGATAGGCAATCACTACCTAATGAGTCCAAAAAATTTAATACTGACTGGTTTTGATTAGACAGGTTATTTAAGACCAGATTGTCATTTTGATTCCCTATACTGCCTTCTTCACTTTTACTTAAACTATCATTGTTAAAATGTAGTAAAGCTGGTTCAATTAAAGCATTAGATTTAATATCATTTTCTGTAGATGCACTTGTAATATCAGATATTGACCAATCTTGTTTAACAAAGTTTAAATCATGTGTGGTACCTTCTTTAGTAGATAATTCCATGTTATTATTAAAAATTATATTGGAATCTAATGATTCGTTTGACTGTATATTATTATCTTGAACATAATCATTTTCTATTTCTAAGGGCTTTATTATTTGAACTTCATATTTAGGAATTTTTTCTGGATCAATTTGAAACTTGCAGAAGACTGTTGATGATTGTTTTATAGGAGATGATCGAATGTCAAAGTGAGTACTGTGAAACTGTATGTGCGATGGTTTCTTTGTTTGATCTTTATGTATATTTTCAATACTATCAGTTACAGACTCATTGGTATAGGGTGGTACAATTGAAACATTAGGTGCTTGCAAATCTGTGTCAGTATTGTTATTAAATTCGATAAAATCATCCATACCAAGTTCAATTGGTGTATCACCCTCAGAATTTAGTCTAACTTTTTTTGCATTTGAACCTTGCATTTTTTGCTTCCAATTTCTTTTTGTGACTGTCGGCCATTTAGCAACTGAGTTAATTCTTGCGCAATCATCTAGTTCATTATCTATATGCAGGACCTCCCCATTTTGTTCGTGAACACCAATTTGTGGAGAATTTCCTAAATCTTGCTTAAATTGATTAACCTTTGGGGGATTGTGTCTACAATGTCCTTCTTTATCCTTAATACAACTCAAGGCATCCATGTTTAGATTATATTTTCCAGGGTTCATACCTAACAACCTAGAAATAGAAAATTATAAGATTTTATTTACTACATAGACCAAAGCTCTTGAATCCATGCTGATTTCCTTTCAAAAATCCTTTCTTTTCAAATGTGTCAATTTTAAAAAATATGTAAAAACACTATTCCAAGTAAATATATAAATAAAAGATACAAAATTAAACATTTAATTGCATATTGAGAGATATGATGGTGTTATATATATTACCTTCCAATGTCATCATTTATATTGCACAATTTCCCATCATTTCCATCCACTTTTTTCAAAAGACATGGCAAAAGAGATTTAAATTTTGCTATCAACTGCTCCAACTGCTGAATAAAGATGTTAGCTCTATCTTCTTCTGATCCGCTTTTGATGATGGCCAGGAGACAATGGAAAAGGTTAGAGTGGATTTTCGCTGGTATGTGGGTAGGATGATTTTCATAGTGTCTTTGTAAACGATACAAACTGCTGAATTCCTGAAAGTATTTATACTCTTGTATAATATTATATTAAAATTGCCAAAATAAGCATAAAAACACAAAGAGGGTTATTTTCAGTGGGTTAGTGATCAATCACTGAGAATTATTCCTCAATAACCAAAATTGAATGGAATTAGAAAATAGAGTTGAAGTCATACATAATTATATTCGATATGATTATTGTAATATGTTCAGAGCTATAAGTATACTGTAACTGTGGTAGGACCACGCAATTATGTTCACTGTTCCACGAATGAACATGTGCGGCCGGGTAATTACCACAACCTCACAGAAGACCGGCATAAAGTGTAAGTGTCATACTTCTGCGTTTTGTTTGGTGAGTGCGGCAGCCGGGGCGACTTTATTAAAAGGTGGCAACGCATAAGGCAAACACCCTATGGGTGTGGCAAATGTCCATGGGCGGCGGTTAACACTTAATATCAGGTGAACTGCCAGCTCGGTTGCCACTTTCTCCCATAAGAAAAAAAAGTCATATGTAATTGGTAAGGTAATTTTATCACTAATACCCAGTTTCCAAAAGGGTAATCAATTTTGATTTAAAATTAATCTCTTTAATTGTTGTTTAACAAGATTTCTTTGATTTTGATTTGAAATTAGTGACTGATTAAAATATGATCAATAGAAAATCGAGTTTCTCAAAGTGTTTTTCCTTAATCAATGAGCTGTCAAAAATTGGTTAGCTAGTCTATGTATTTGGCCGATCAATCGTTGTTTAAAAATTTATTGTATTGTATATATTTCAAAACACTAAATATAATTTTTCTACCTATTTTTTCGTAAACAAACCTTTCAAAAACAAAAGGCAGTTTAACTGCTGATCATTTTTAACATAATTTTATATGATTGGTGCTTTGATTGACCTTCCGGAAACTGAGCATAATTAAAATAGATAAATTTAAAACGGTACATTAAACATTAATAAGTACTCACTAAAGAACATTGAAAGCAAGAGACAATAGTTCCATTTTTTTTCCTTGGTTTGTGAGGACTTTCCTCTTCTGGGGTATGATGTTTGGGCAATTTGACTTTACGCCCACTACGCGTCACTTTTGTCTATAAGTTTTCGTAAATTAAAAATACAACATTAAAGAGACAGTAAAGTTTTCTAATCAAAATTTAGATCATGTGGCAGTTCTTTTATACAACATAAGAACATAGAGATGTGTGATTAGGATTCATTAAAACCCTTTTGTTCTTATAATTATCATATTAAAAGTGCAACTTAGTATTATTGGTGTAAATAAGCATTAAGTAATAATTTTAGTTGTGTATGTTGATTATGGCTAAATTACGAATGATATCATTCATAAAAGTTATATGTGCAGGTACACAATAGGTCTGTCAAATAAAAATCACTAATAATTAACTATTCATTATTCAACCCATGCAAAACCACAAACAGAAATATATTATTCACCATGCAATGCACTATATATAAAGCAGACAACTGAGTCCAATTCAACCCCAAAAAGAAACATGTTTGCGCGTTAACTACTGAAAAGTCCCCATTTGTATTAACCCTTATTTCGAGGAAACTCCCCTATCTGCCACGGCTAGTATCGGAATACTTTACGTCGAAATCTCAATCAGTGTCCAGTTCCGCTGTCAATTGGAAAGTATCTTGTACCTTGTATTATCTGATGTTTTGCTTTCAATCCCGAGACTATTAAAGATTCATCTGACGCAGAACCGGTGGGCTAGCCAGAACCCACGGGTTTGGGCCCTCCGCTGTGGGTAGGGCCACGCATGTACTCATGCGTGCGTTTAACTATGGTGTGTCATCTAAGGGCCATCGAGGTCGCGGTTCGGACCGAAACCCCGATGGCCGTCGACTGTGCAATTAGCTAATCGGTGGATGGGAGTGGTGAGAACCACCCCGGAACGCGGGTGTACCTTGTGTACGCGTTGTGTTGGTCTCGCCGTAATCGGAGGCGAGGGCGAACTAGTGTGTTTGTTGTTGCACTAACTGTGGGTGTACTGTTATCCGGCGGGACTCCCGGCGGTGGGTCCGACGTATCTAAGTCCCCTTCCTCGACCGGGTCGTTCGCGGGCGACGCTTGTTGACGTTCGCGTATGTGTCGAGTTGGTAATTTGCTGCGCTTACCACCAGAGGGTTGGGATGATGTTCGGCTCTCTCGAAGAACCGTTTGGTCAGGTCTTTAAAATATTCTATATAAGTCGGGAGTCTGCAATCGCTGTGCAGGTCGACGTTGCGTTGATACCACTGCGCACCGGTTGCACGGCGGATGAACTTATTCTGTACAATTTGCAACTAGTACAAGCTAGTAGTGTGCATGTGGGCGAAGGTCAAGCATGCGTAGGAGGACATAATAGGCCATACGCAGGTCTTATATAATAATAATTTGTGCCTTAAGGGCATTTTAATTTTAGCGTTAGTTAAATTGTGTAACCGGCCGGAGATGAACGCAGCTCTATTGCGAACGTTATTAATGTGCGTAGTAAATGACATACGTGAGTCGAAAGTGAATCCTAGGTATTTGACCTTTTTAGGGATATATTTATATATAAAGGGATATTTGCCGCAACTTTCTTATAAAGGGCCATTATAAAGATGTGACAGGTAAGTACTTCGTGTGAAGTGAATCGCCACACTCTTTTCGGGATTTACTTCTATTCTCCCTTGGCGGACCCAATCACCGAGGCGGTCGGCGGCGCTTTGGAGTCGATTGGTTAGTTGACTAAGGTTGCGGTCTGAATAAAAGAGCGCTGTCATCCGCGAAAAGCGCGAGACTGACGTGGGCGTCTTTAGGTATATCGCTCGTGTAGAGCGTAAAGGGCAAAGGTGAGAGGCCTTGTGGTACGCCGGCCGTGAGGCGGCGGCTTGTGGAGGGGGTGCCTTCAACTATATCGCGGTTCGACAGGAAAGCCCGGATGATGTGTACGAGCCCATCTGGTACTTTGAGTGTATACAGCTTGTAGAGCAAGCCGTTGTGCCAGACCTTGTGAAATTGTTTTTGTGACATCGAAGAAAAGAGCCCCTGTACTAATTAGTTTAGGGTGATTTAGGATATGTTCCGTTAGGCGGAATAATTGATCGGGACAGGAATGTCTAGCTCGAAAGCCGAATTGTTCCGCCGGCAGAAGGCTGTTAGAAAACACGTGCTCTTTGTGCCTGTTTAATAGAAGCCGCTCGTAGAGCTTCCCAGGCAACTGAGGAGGCTGATGGGACGATAACTAGAGGACTGGTTGGCTGGTTTATTTGGCTTGCGAAAGCCGATAACCGTGACTTCTTTCCAGTCGTCCGGAAAGGAGGAACTGGAGAGTAAAGTATTGAAAATGGTCGCCAGTAAACAGATAATCGGCCCAGGGAGAGCTTTAAGAATTGTGTTACTAAGATTATCTGGGCCCGGGGCGGATTTCGGTTTTAAATTTTTTAATAATGTCTTGGACCTCTTCGGGGGTCACTGAACTCAAAGGATCGCTTTCCGGTGGAAGCGCAGCTCTAATGTCGATTACGCGGTCCACCTCCGTTAGGTGGACTGTATCGGTGTGTTCGCAGGATGGCGTACATTGCTGCTATAGGTTGTTCGCAAGGAATTCGGTCTGCTGAAGCGCTATTAGGTCTAACTAACGGCGGTAGAGATTCGCGGGAGTCTGCTTTCAGACTGCGGGCCAACCGCCAGTAGGCAGTGTGTGATGGCTCGATGTCCTCTAGGAGGGTGTCCCACGTGGTATGCCGATACACGATCTTTGTCTTCTAGTTGAAGGTGTCGAAGTAGGTTCGGTTCGATTCCGATCGGTATCGGTCGTTGCATTTTTCTGTCTAATTAGCAGTCGTAGGTCGGGCGGAAAGTTTCACCATCCGTTTCGAATTTGCGACTGCGGAAGTGATAGTTTCTCGGAGACTTGCTATCGCTCGATTTGCGTCATCGAACCTTCGACCTACCCGAGACGATAGCTACGATATCGTCTCGGGTAGGTCGAAATTTGAAAGTAAGACCAAATATGCCTCAAAGAAACTTGGTGATCTCAGCAAGGGAGACGTCACGTCGGTTCAACACCTAAACATATGAAGTACTGTGTTTATCTCTGGGCGGGAGCCCCCTATTACCAACTTCATCCATTTGACTGCATTCAACATAGGGCGGGGGCTAGGGTATTCGATGATCGAAGTATTTAGATTGGCTTGATCCTTTGTTTCTGCATAGAGATGTTGGATCACTCTGCAACTTTTACCGCATTTATAACGGGGAATATCAACGGCTGAATTTCATCATCGGACTACGCGCCAAAATCATAAATTTTTTCCACACTGTCCACCGTTCTACAACAGCGCGATTTCCAAGGCATTTTCTAACTCACACAACCACTTTTTGACCTGGGAATCTTCAAAAAGAGAGCATACTCTTTCCTAAAAGGCTGGCAACGCCTTTGTAAGCCCTCTGGTGTTGCAGGTGTTAGGGTGGTGGTAATCACTTACCATCAGGTGAGGTTCCTGCTCAGTTGTCCCTTTTCTCGATTAAAAAAAAGTAGAAATATATTATTGTCACCTCAATAGCAACAGTCGGTTCTGGTTCACAAATGTCCTGTGCCACAATGGGTTTAAGCTCTTTCTTTTCTATCTTCTTTTTAAGAACAACTTCCTCTTCCTTTTTAGTTATTTCTTTTTTTAGTTCTACTCTCTTTTGTTTAAAAATTAATTTATTTTTACCAACTATGGTTAAATCTTTTGGTGATAGGACTCTAAAATAAAAAAATTACATATAAAAACATTGAATAATAGGTTCACAATAGGGGACTGGGGTAGGGCCACGCAGCAGCCTCAGTTGTTGCACGAATGGGCAGGCTCTTCCAGGTAAGTACCACAACCTCACAGAAGACAGGCGTAAAGTGGAAGTACTAATATTGAATACTTTCGCGTTTCGTCTGGGAAGTGAGGTAGCCAGAGCCCAATTTTCATAAGATCGTCAACGCATCTGCAACTATCGGGTGTTGCAGATGTCCATGGGCAGAGGTATTCATTGACCATCAGGTGAGCTGCCTGCTTGCTTGGCAACTTGTCTCATAAAAAAAAGGGAGGGAAAACAAATCAGATTATGATATCTATTACTGTATAATTCAGTAACTGTATAATACAGTCTGTATATTGACAGAATACATTAAGCTATGTTGGTTACCAAATTCCTGGAAAAGTGTCACATATCAGATACAAAAACTACTATATTTATCTAATCAGTTGTGCATTAAAACAACAGCTTAGAGGCTATCAGAGCTCAATGTGCACTGTTATCTAAATGATGAATCTTGGCTAAGTAAAGAAATGAAGGCTTGGCTAAGTTCGAGTAACTTGAGCTGATGAGTTTTCTCAATTCTAAAATAAACTGTCAAAAGCACATAATGCACATTTATGATAAGTTTCTGTAACTTTGTTATATAATGAGGATACTTGTATATGACATACTTATATATAAAGCGAGTGTTAGTGACTGGATCATAAGCTGGCTCCTTTGGTGTTTTCTCTGGGTCACTAAATATCTTGAGAGCATGATTGACTATTTTCATCTGATCATCACTCAACTGATTGAGACTGAAAAAATAAAATCATATTAAATAATAACAATGTTTATTGGAAGTTTTTAGGAACTTATTAAAGCCAAGGTTTGAGCTGATTTCTACTTTCCTATTTTTTACCACCCAGTATTAACAAATATTATATTTTATAAATATTTAAGTAAAAGGCAAAATTAAACTAATGTTTTAATGGCAGGAGAGCAGGTGGTTTACTTTTAAAACATTATACCACCCATCGGATAGTACCTGTGTCACCAACTTAAAAAAAAAGAGGGTTGCAGTTAACTTTCTCTATATACAGGGAGGCTTTTTTAAAGGTGCCCAAATTTACACAGGAGATTCAGACTCGTTAGTATAATTGTTTATTGAAATAAAAACATTTTTTTTAAAAAATTACCATTCTTTTCCCTAAAAAACAGAACTTGTTGACAATGCGGTAGTCATTCATGAATATCTAAATTTTACTGTTCACGCACACAAATGAACTTGTGTATGTGTTGTTTTTTGGAAGGTAATGGTTCTTCCCTGGAGGAACCTGCCAATTTGTCTATGTAATTTCAAATAAAATACCAAACAACTTCACAAGAATATAATTCTTACAATTATTGTATCTATGTTTATAATGTAATAATTGCTCCCTAGCAAATTAATCAAATTAAAACATTATTTGAAATTACTAAATTTTGATATAAAGGAAAACAAATTATACTAACCTGTGGTATGTCTCACCAAGTTTAAGCAATTGCACAGAAGTATGTTTGGATGGATTATGTGTGCTAAAATAATTTAATAAATTTAGTGGAAAATTTTTTTTAGATAAAAAGAATAATAAATCAGCAAATGATGTGCTGAGCACTGTTAATAATAATTAAGAGTTCAATAGTGGGTTGAATGAATATGATTTTCATTTACACTTCCATATTCCCGGTTTCAACATTTGAAGAGTCTAAAATTTTTATTTTAAGAATAAACTAAAGAAAAGATTTGTACTCACATTTCCTTTGGTTTAATCTTTGGTAACTTTTTTCCTTGAATTGAGTTCTTGGGGATGTTCTTTAATTTCACAATTTTCCTATTTATATCCAGTTTCGGTACAGTATTAGTAACACTTGGGTTACATGAAGTTGCGACGGGTTTTAATAAAATGTTTTTAACTGGAGTCACATACTGCTTGCTTGTCTCAGATTTAGGTAAAAGGAAACTAGCTAGCTTTAAATTATTACCAACTACGCTGCTATCGACTTTTTTTAATATCCTCGGTTTGTAATCAACATTTTCCTGTAGGTTATTTGCTATTTTGCCGCTATTTTCGTAAAAGCTTCGTAAGCTGTCACCCACGGGCTTTTGAGAGTTTTCACTATTTTGTGAAATAACATATGACCTAGCCTGAATAATATATATATATATATTATTAATAGTACACGTAATAACATAAATAAATATGTAAATGTAAATACGAAACAGTAATGACAATACCTGATTTATGCTGGAATTTTGTATCACATAAACGGGAGTATATTGACACGGATTGATTATAATATTCTCCGGAGAAGAGTTCATAATTAATAGATAACAAAATTGTTGTGATATCTCAATTATTTATGTATATAAATTTATTCAATAACTGTCATACATAATTATAAAGCTTAAAAATAAACTAATGTCTATAATCATTCATAATATGACGTTGATTTTTCGGTTCGGTAATCGTTCTCACGCATGGACTGGTACTCAGATATACCGTTAACATGTATTTATTTTTATTCACATAAACATATACATTACTTAATTATATTGATGTTGCTTTATAAATTAAAATGATTTCGATTTTGGTTAAGTTAAAATAGTATATTTAGTTAGTTACCATGAATTTCTAAACGATAATATTCATGGTTGATTGAGCATAGCCAATTAAGTATACTGGAAAATGAAACTGGAAAAATACTTCTATGATAGCTAGTTTTTTAGAGTTCCGTACCGAAAGGGTAAAACGGGACTCTATTATTCAGACTTTGATGTCTTTCTGTCTCTGTCCGTCTTTTACCTGGCTGTATCTCATGAACCGTGATAGTTATACCGTTTCAGTATATATGTCTTGTCTATGAGTTAGACTTATCACAAATGATGTATTTGTGTTGCCGCTATAACAACAAATACTAAAAAACATTTAGAAACAAACATGATTTTTTTGGTACGAAACCCTTCGTGCGCATGTTGGCCGATTTTTTTTTAATAATATTATATTGAGAGTGAAATATGCTCTCAACGCTATAATGAAAAAGAACGATTTTTATGATTGACAAAATGTTAAATATTATTGTGTAATGGCAACTTGACTACGGCTTTAGCAGAGACAAACTAACCTTAATTCTTTTCTCAGAGTGAAGCTTTGTGAAGTTGAGGTGAATATAGAAAACAATATTTTATATAATATTAAATTAGTTTAATTTAGTTCTATTATTGAATTTAAATCTTTTTGTGATAATTTATGACTATGTTGGAATAAATCCAGTGTAATATTAAGTCTACCATTACACTATATTGCAAAATTCAGCCACGTGTGTTGTACGGTTGGTATTACTTTGAATTTAATTTCAGGCGTTAAAATGACGAACTCCAAAGGTTATCGCCGTGGTACCAGGGATTTGTTTGCCCGCAAGTTCCGCACACATGGAACTATACCACTCTCGACTTATATGAAAGTTTACAAAGTTGGCGACATCGTAGATATTCGGGTACGTATCAATAACTCCGGAGTCCGGAGTATCATGTAGCTTGAAGGTCTACAGGGATAGTAATTGCGATATTTTTTTTTGTTTATTTTTAATTTGCTCTTTATTTTTCACTGTTAATGTTGATAGTTAAATTTATGTATTATATTTTTCTTATTGAAATTTTAACTTTTATTTCTATCGCTATATAAAATTGTTAAATCTCATAAAAATATGAATTTTATTCTAAATTTAAACTGATATTGAAAGCTTTATAATTCTATATATTAAATTGTGTATCGTGCTTTAAAAATATTTTTGAAATTATACTTCTTTTGGCGCGTTAGGAAAAAATGATGAGAGTAAATTTTTGCGATGCGTGCGCACACCGTCACGAAAAAACGACACCCTGAAGTTAGCTAGACATCTACATATGTTTGCGTGAGAACTGACAACTGTACTCACAATATTTATTGTGGATATTTAAATAAATTTTATTTAACTAGATTATGCATTATAACAAAACTTTCAACGTATTAAATACCTTTTTTGAAAATATTTTTATCTTTTTACGCCAAAGAAGTGTAACTTCTAAGTACACACACACTTTTTTATAGGTATTTTTATCTATAAACTAAAATTATAAAACCTAATTTATGTAATAAATCTTATCCTTTAAACGAGCAATTCTTATATATATATATCCGTTCTAGGAGTTGTTTGATCCAGCAATACGTATGATCAGTTTTTTGTTGATCCAATACCATATGTATGTGATTTAGTGGCTCCATACGGATTAACAACTGCTCGTCAATATCTTTTTGAAAGTAGCTACAATTTATACAAATCCACTCCGTACTTATTTGATCCAATTCAAGCGGACGAATCACAGATCACAGCAGCATTCATTGGTTGAAATCATCACATTACGTCAGTACCTACTTATTAAGAAGAATTATTGTATCTCATGAATGTGATATTTGTTGAAATACATGCTTTAAAGCTCCAGCAATATCTAGCGCTCGCGCGCTTTTCAGATTCACGTTCAACACAACCATTATATTTTAATGTTAATTCGTTGCGCGCGTGATAGTTTATTTAAGAATTTACATATAATAATTAATAAAAAAAATATTGGTATCAATACTCAACACTTAATTATTTAATTCATGTATACAATGAATGTACTTCTAATTCAATATTAAAAAAATAATGTTGAAGAATAAATAACACTTGGGAGTGTTCTAAACGTATCTTCAATAGTTTATAAGTAATTTTAATAGCAATGGAGAATACCTGATAGGTAACAACAAGTCCAAGTGTACAATAATTTTAAAAATTATATAAAAATTGAATTAAATTATAATTTTTTTATGATGTAACACCGTGATAAATTATGATTTTATTAAAATGGTTCCATAATGTTAACACTAAGCAACAAAAAATTGTAATTTAGAAAAAGCGTTTTTAGCAGTAAAATTTTTTTTCTTAAATGTCATATTTTCATTAAGCATCATATTCCTAAAAGAAAAAAATTTAAAATCTTATAAACAATGATAATTACTATAGTATTTATAATAATTACAATTCAAGTAATTTTTTTTAAAGGGACAGAATAATCAAAAAATTAAAAAAAATCTTGATTGATTTATTAACATTTTTCATATTTCAATGCCTTAGATTGGTAAAAAAACAATGAAAAATTAGAATTTTTTTTTGGCAATCTTTTCTAAACTCTTTCAAGAAGTGACAAAAATATTCTGGGTTAGACTACATAGAAATAATCTTAATTTTTTTTACGTCATATTATTATTTATTCATGTGTCTAGAAAGAACTATATTTTTTATTCCTTAATATTCTATTTTATTTGGTTAAAATAATCTTTTAGAGTCCCTTTTGATGTAAAGATTTGTCCGATAAATCTCTTAAATAATCTAACTTTAACCCACTGAATAGCACTAGCTTAAATAACACTATTGATTACATAATAAATAATAATAATTTATTCTCTTGTAACCAAACTCATATTTGATATTGAGTTGAGCAATGACTTGTAAACAAATTTAAAGGTTAAAATTAAACTAAAATATTGTCATCCTAGTCTCTTTAAAGACATTTTCACACTACATCATTTGTCGCATTACATTGCGACCGTTGTTGATCCGTTTCCTAGTGCAATAGTAGCAATATATTGTACAACTAGCTTGCGCCCGCGGCTTCGCCCGCACATTATATCGTGCTTAAAAATACCTACGGAACCCTTCGTGCGCAACTCCAACTCGCATTTGGGCGATTTTTTTTAACTTAAATAAACCATCATTTTACAGACCATAGTTAACTATAGTTTCATCGCACAAATCTAAAATGTGGTTCTTTAAGTTGATATAACTATTTTATTTATCATCCGACTTAAATAAAACTAACAATAAATGTTAAGAGAAGCTTACTACAATGCATTTGTAAAAGTTGTACTGAAATCGGAAAGGCCGTTTTATCCAAGTTAGCACACTGACAAACAGATAAACAGACAATAATTTTAACTATCATTGTTTTGGGTTCTACTGCGTTGATAAAGGCCCCTATTAATGGTTTTTCTCAAATATCTTCTATGTTTAACAATCAGTAAAATTTTTATTAAATGTATGATATTCTTTGAGCTCATAGTTCGCCGCCGCGCCAGTTGCTTAAATCAACTCGGGATAATATTTAGATGCCTACTTAGGAGTACATCATTTTGGGCTTCACCTCAATCGAATTAATACAGGCTGCATGTGCTAACAATCATAACAACAAAACTATACACTTTATAGTAAGTAGGTATTTTAATAGTGTCCCAAGGATTTATTAATATCAAGCGATAATATCTACAATATTAAAGATATTTATTCACTAGCATCCTATGGTAAACTAATTAATAAGAAATAGGGTATAACCATCTCTTTGTCAATTATTTTTATCTAGGTTATTATATTCAACATATAGTAACAGTTTACTCAATAGAAAATGTACATGGAAATTCAGTTCTTATTACAAACACTGTGGAATTAATTTTACGAACACTGACGTCGAGCTGCGTATGCGCGCTCACAGGGATCAAGAATGTTTAAAAAGTACCTGAGAAAAAACCGTTACGCGGAGCCTCGATACTTTGGAAAAGTATAAAACAACGGTTAGAGTATATTGCTGAATTTAGAAATATGTCTAAGCGACACAATACGCTGTTCAAATATATGCTTTCCGGTCTTTAAAATAAAGGTTAAGGGCAAGTAAATTTGGACAGAAAGGTGGATCAATAAAGGACTCTTTTAATTTTGCTGGATCAAACAAGTTATGGAAAAGGACTATATATATATATATATCCCTGTTTTCAGGGAATGAAAAATATTCGAAATTGACAGTAAATTTCGCCGCAAAAAAAGTTTTATAATAGCTCGGTCGGTAGTCGGGCGGCCCTAAAACAGATGGCCGCGGTTCGTATCACGATCATTTACATACTTATTTTTTTTACTTTTTTTTTTTCGGGCAGATCAGTTTCTTTATTGTTTACTTTTTTTATTTCTAAAATACATGATTTAACAAAAAAAAAACCGAGCAAAGCTCCTCTGGTCCTCCTGGTGCTTTGATATAAAAACAGACAACAGGTTTATTAAGATCAAGTTATTAGATAATTCAGCCACTACAGATTTATTCCTATCAACAAATAATAAAATTATTTATACACTAATCACAACTTAAAATTATCTTTCTAGGGCAATGGTGCAGTTCAAAAAGGTATGCCACACAAAGTCTACCATGGCAAGACAGGTCGTGTTTACAATGTTACAGCTCATGCTTTGGGTGTTATTGTAAACAAGAGAGTTAGAGGCCGCATTCTACCCAAGAGGATTAATATTCGTATTGAACATGTTAAGCACTCTAAGTGCAGACAAGATTTTCTCAAGCGTGTGAAAGAGAATGAAAGGCTTCTTAAAGAAGCTAAGGCTGCAGGCAAGATTGTCAAGCTCAAAAGACAGCCTGAACCACCAAAATCAGCACACATTGTTAACGGTGCAGAAAAACCAATCTTATTAGCGCCAATTCCATATGAGTTTGTAGCTTAAAGTGGAATAAATTATTTTTAAGAATCCTTTTTGTTTTGTTAAAATTTCCTTTTATGAATTTTATAGTATATATTATAAATTAATATAATGGAAAATGACATTCATGCTTGACATGACACAAACAGGCTTTAAAATTCTACATTTCTTTATACCTTTAATATTTTGATTATAATTTGATTATATAAATATTAGACAAGGAGAAATAAAAGGTGCCTATATAAATATTACATTTGATTGATTAAAAAAAAAAATTTAATTTATCTAAGTAGGGACCAAAAACTTCTTGTGCTAACATTAACTAGATTTATAGGAATGACTATACTAGAACACAAAGGTTTATTTATATAGGTTTATAGATGTACATGATATAAAACCATGCCACTAAACTACATAAAAATAGTATTGTGCGTAATTTCTATAAAATGTAAATAAATGCCTAGGTTTTAGAATTTCTGGTTTTGGAGGAAATAGATAGTTAAAAATTCTGTTTTCAAAAATTCACAATGAGATGTGTTGCTATACCAGTACTATGTTATCTTGTTCTGATGATGAGGGAAAGAGTCACATGACTTCCTTCTAAATATAATTATAACAATAACTGATATATTATCTAATTACCAAAATTAATATAAAATATTATAAATTTAAATCAGAAGGAAATGAACTTGTTGATGAAGATGAGCTGATCATGGTTTCGCCCAGATTGATGTACTGATTTTTATTGGAAATTGATGGTGTACTGTGTGTCTACTTTCACTGATATTGGTTCCTTGCACCACACTCTCAAAGTACATCCATCACTTGCGATGGTCAACACACGACCCCCGTCATCGCTGTCAGTCAATTTTTATTTATAGTTGTGTGCGTAGGAGACGACAGAATACTTCCTTCTCTTTCGCACATACACTACAACCCTTCCTTTTTATTTCTTCATTAAACAAATGAACAATTTTTCAGCTTCTTACTTCAACAACCTATTATCTCAACCAGGACAACACAAGCCTCCCATAGATAATACATATACAGCGTGTCTTTACAATCGCGACAATAAATGAACACACATATAGGGGATAATTTTTTAAAATTGTATTAAACACTTACATTCTTTAAACATCAATATTTACAGAGTTATTAAATTTTCCGAAGCAAAGAATTTTAGAACAAACTTATGTATAAAACTATAACGTAAAGTTCATTTGTAAAGGTCACAAAGCATATGAATGGGTTGAATGAATTTAAAAGAGATAAAACATACTGTTAGAAGGAGAGATTTGTAATGCTACGCTGTGGCAACGAATGAAAAAACAAATTTTGTTTCTTTTTTACTTAATTAGTTTGTTTGATAAATATTTTTTTTAATTATGGATTTTGTTTAACGTTAATATTTTTTATGATTATTGGCAAGTAGCGTTAGATGTGTGTTCATTTATTGTCGCGATGGTAACGACACGCTGTATACTGAAGAACCCGTCATCACTGTCAATCTTTCATTTATAGTTGTGTGTGTATGAGACGACAATTTTCGTCAGAAACCATCAAAATGCATTCATTATTAAAGTGCTTTTTAGCGTGGAAGAGCCACGCAACAGCTCCTGCTGTTGCGCGAATGTGCAGGTGCTACCGGGAAAGTACCACGGCCTCTCACAAGATCGACTTAAGTGAAACTTTTAAACTTTCTCATTTTGACTGAGTGAGGTAAGCGGGGCCTACTTTATTAGAAGGTAGCAACGAATTTGCAACCCTACGGGTGTTGTAGCCATGGGCTGTGGTATTCACATGAACTGCCTACTCGCTTGCCAACTTTTCACATAAGAAAAAGTGATCGCTCATTGAAGGCTATTACGAAAGAAGGATTAAGTCACGCATGGGAACAAGCGAAACATAGCAGATTTGACTGTGGAAGTTCAGTATTGAAATTGAAACCGTGACACGATCACCTTCGTGTGCGAACCGTAGTATTCCTTTACTCTATGGTGCGAACTGCGAAACTTTTGCAGCGAAAGATACTTGTATGCCAAATAGGCATGCGTTGTATGCCAAATAGGGATGTAGAAAATATATTGATATATTGATTAAATATCGATATTTTTAAATAATAAATAAAAATATTCAATATCGAAATCGTATCAAAAACAATATTTTTTCAAATTCGAATCCGGCACAAAGAGTCCGTAGATTGCAATTCGGTGGAATGATCCCATTACTTCTACTTGATTACAAAATTCGAGTTGGGCTCGTCTCGTGTTCACATTATTACAGGTTATATGAATCGTTATACATTGCCAGATGTTTTGATTGTGAAGCACAAAGTAGTTTTAGATCCCAAAAGAAGAAGAAAAAAGTATTTTTACTGGCCTGAGTTTTTGATTCTTTCCACAGCTATTCTTTTGACAGCTCTCTACGTTTGGAAGAAGTCTGCAGTCAGATGCAAGCGGACACCAACCAACGTAAACGTAGTGATTGCATTCTCTTTGGCGGACACACAACACGCTCTTCTACAAGTCCATACGCCCCGTTAACGAAAAAATGGGCAATACGACTAAAAAGGGGGAAACGAGACATTCCAAAGACCCACCAGAAGAGGTTTGCACCTCAAGTTTGACGGTGTCGGATGTACGAGCCAAGGAGTTGCCGATGAAATATGCTTGTATTACTGATAGTTGGTTACTTATTTTAAAAAAAAATCTTCAAGTGTAAGAACTCGTACATGAATTTTTTATATCCATTTAAATATCGACGGTAATACATCCTTAAAAATAATAAAACAAAGTTATCAAGAAAATCACAATTTTTTATTTTAGAAATATTGATATTTACAAAATGGAGGATAATATATCTAATATGAATAAAATAATAATCATTGATTCAAATTAAAACAATCTCAATAATTTATGCCGTTACAACGTTAACAATCATGGCATATCAGTTCAACGCTCTATCAACCACTAAATTAAATATATAAATTACTATAAGTAGTGAAACTTAACAACTAGCGTCTCTAGACTGATAAAACAGTATATATCCTGTTTCGGACGATTTCTGTATATCAGAAGTTAGGCCGTAGAAGTCTTCTATAGCGGACGCATCGATTTTCTGTAACAAAAATAATACATAAACTTAGAACGAACCTACAATAAACAGATATTTTTGGGAAGAGGTCAATCGAATCGCCATTTAATTAAGGAAAAACTGAACCCTCTGGATTCGGCTTTCATCAGCTCTTTCTCTCTCTCGTCTTGCCTCTTTCTAATATACGCAAGCCCACTGAACAATTTTTTTAAAATCAATTTAATTACATCTAATTTTTATTACATGAATATTTTTACCTTAAATACCACCGTTAGTGCTATTTCTCAAAAAAAAAAGAATACAAACTTACACTCTGAACTCTAAATCCTTCTCGAGCGTTCTTACCCCCCCTAACCCCGCACACCTACGTATTGCATATACAGGTTGGCTTTCTAAAGGTGCCCAAATTCACACAGTCCAGACTTGGTAGTATAATCGTTTATTGAAATAAAAACAAACTTTTTTTTACATTGCCCTTCTATTCCCTAAAAAACAATTTGTTGACAATGCGGTAGTCATTCATAAATGCGTTATATACTTTTGAAACTAACTTATGTGCGTGTTAGTTATGAATGATCGCACGTAAAATAAACCACGCACTTTTTTAGATAAGTTAAAATGAATGAAATTAATTAATTACGAGTGATTTTAAATATTTATCATTTTTATATACCATTATTTATGTCTAGAATTTAATAAAAAAAATGGATACTCTTAGAAAAGCTTCCCTGTATAATGGGCCGAGAGCAGTCGGCACAACAGTTATAGAATACTAACTACCGCGCGGGGATCTTATAAAATATAGTAAGGGAAGCTTTGTGCCCACTAAAACTAAGGACAACCGCAAATTCGACCGCCACCTCTACCATAACTGCATCTGGAGTTTGAATCCTGAAGTAGCTACGGTGAGCTAAGTGCCACGCAGTTACTAAGGTAGGCGTGCAATTTATGATAATGAACGCCCTTTCCTTTTAACCAGCATACTTTTACAGTCCGGGATCGAAAGACACAAACTTCTTAAAATTATTTAGAGCATTGATTTCCTTTGGACACATATTAGTAAATCAGTTTCGGATACCTATACAGGGTATTACAAAACTACCCGTAAAGCCGAAAGGTTTAATGGGGCCTTATAACGAGTCCATTCACAATATTTAAGAACCGTAGTAACGCTGTATAACATACCCAAAAAAAAATATTTTCAATAATGTGCAAACCCTATTTCAGTAAAATTGAAGAGTAAACTACGCAGAATATACCTACATTTCTACTTAATTCGCGGAACGACAAGCCGGTGGAATGTAGTCGTCTTGACATGTTCAGAAAACACTGCTACGAAGACAGTCGTCGCTGTTCAGTGGGGGGTCTACCATCGATAAATCCTCGCCGATACAGTTCGCGAGCACGATTTAAATTGCTATCTTCATGGGCTACGCATAACATCATGTCGTAATATTCCGAGTTAGAAAGCGTCGTTATTTTGCAAATAATGTTGAAAAAAACTCGAAACAGTTGTAGGATATCGATTAGAAGATTTGAAATTGACAACATATTTTTTTTCCAACTTGACAGTTTTTGACATCCTTGTATTGAGGTAGCAAACATTTATGGATGAAAAATAGAAAAACTATAAAAGTTGATAATTATTAGATAAAATACGTACGTAGGCCTTTCTGTTAAAATAATCTGGTTCCCTAAAATGAGCTTACAAACTGGGTTGACAAAATTTTTGGCTTTGATAATTAATTATATTTTTTACGGGGTATTTTGTAACACGTTGTATATGTGTGTGTACACAAACATAATTTTGCAAAAACATTCAAACGAACATTAGTTGAAAAAGCATATATATTATGTAAATATTGTTTTTAGATGATTCAAGGTATTAAGTTATTTTTACCAGCAAAAAAACCCAACACCAGCGTTTTTGCAGGTTAACTCTTTAGTAACCACACTCAGCCTAATGATGAAAGTGTCTTCTACTTTATATAGGTTTCCTGTGAGATGGTATTTGCACTGCTGAGACAGAAGCCTGCTTGCAATGATATTATATTATTATTTAAAGATATGTTGTTAACATGCCCAAAGTGAAACTTCACGCTAGGCAGGGCGGCGATGTCAAAACTTTTACTAGTAAATAAGTTATGTTTTTTCTTTTCATAATGTAAATGTGTTTAGAATACGTAAGCGCACTTGTATATGTAAGTTAATGCTTTAGTTGATTATAGATGATGTGTCTTGAAAGGCGAGCGGGGGTGAGGTAAATGGGCTACTGAATGGTGGGGCGAGATTGTATAAAAGGAGGGCCGTCAGTGGTCACCAGTGGACTCGTCTCGGACTCGTTCGGATTTGTTTCCCCACATCGTAAACAGATGTAATAACGGAGTATAACAGTTGTAATGGCCCAAGGGAATGAACCTCACTGCTCGCTTGCCGCCAAGAACAATTACGTGATATCGCGTGTTTTATTTTTCGTAAAAAATCGTCACGGCATATGCGGCGTGGCGTCGAGCGGAGTTGGGGCTAACGCCAAAATTTTATGGGAAAAAATGCCGCCGTGTGTCTTAAAAAGATGTCCCAATTACTACTCTAACGCACGGTTTGTGAAACACTGATAATCGTAGTCAACTAATCAGCTGTCAATGGCTTTTCAAATATTATTTGAGTTGCCAAAAGGATTGTTAAACTCTTTGAATTGATCATTCTGATCATTAAGAAGATCATTGTAATCAATTCAGAGAATACTGAAACCGGGCAAGACTAAAGTTAACAAAATTCGAGTTATCTCATATCATGCGCTTAATGCAATAATACAGTAAGAGATTTATTATTATATTTCATTATGTTAATTTTTGTAGGTTAGAAAACAGATAAAAAGGCAGCCAATAAATTTAATACGGGGATGAGAAAGACTGTGCACCTCGAGACTTTTTAACCTCTTTTTAATTTGTCTTCTCATTTCTTTATGACGCTGTCCTTTTTATAATGGTATAAAAACAATGTAGATAAAACACGTTGAGATTTTCGTCGGAGTGGCAATTAGGGTTATAAAGGTAATTAGAACGAGAGATGTCGCCATTGTTATATGAAAATTTAAAAAAAATATATAATGGCTTATACATATGTATATGTGGCTCTTGAAATAAAAATTTACAGTGTATGCCATACTACACCACGGACTTACGTCTACCATGTCGTCATCAAATAGCAACCAAAATCCGTGGCTCTTGACAATGCTGATGTAGTGTCCCCGGTTAGGCCCCGAACCGCAATGCACCACAACTGCCACCAAATCGTACAACCGGTCAGGATTCACCGCGTCGTCCGACTGTTAAAAGTGTCAGTGGTTTTTAAATATTGCACGCACCAAATTTATACTTTCGAAAGTTTTGCGTCGCCGCAAAGTTACCGTCAAGTGAATCTGAGCTGCGCTTGCGTCGATGGCAAAAATCGAGCATCAAGTCATCGCTTAATTTAATATAACATAAAAAAAAGCATACCTAATAAAAAAAACATGTTCTCAAAACTTATCTGTGATCTTCAACCTATATTAAAACAAAAATGAACTTATAATTTGTTTACTTTGCATTAATTATCTTGCAAAACTTAATAATTTAAAAGTAAGTCGGAAATCTCGCGATGAAGTAAAAAAGATTTTAGAATTAAACAGATCAACTACAAAAGTATACCTAAAAGTTTTGCAACAAAATACCATTAGATGATATGATGTTGTGAAGCTGTTACGATTCTATAGAAAACAAAAAAAATATATTATTTGTTAATGGCCCAAATAACTAACCTGTTAAGTACTGATGCCTACAATTTTAATGAATAATGAATTTATACTTACAGTATTGAACAATCTTAACTCCAACGGAAAAACCACACGATGGGACACCTTGATATGCCTATTATATTGCTCCATATATTTGAAGCGCTTGAGATGCAAAGCTAATATCAGAGGAAGCTTCTTCACTCTCATTCGCTTTTGCGCCTCCTGATAGCTGCTGCAGTTATCACACTTAAACTTATTATCATTGCAAAGAGTCTCTGTATCACTAAAACACTTCAAGCAATGAGTTATGCTTGTGTTTTGGCCCACATCCACCTGAAATTTCATATTATTAACACTATAGAAAATCCGTATATAACAGAGACAACAACAATGCCTGTTAATTATACCATGTGTCCCCAATGATAAACAGACACCTGGGAGTGGACAAATTGATGACTACTCAGAAGAAAATATTAAATATAATAAAATATCAGACATAGTATATTTAAAATATTACAGTAAACATTTCACAAACAATCTGGTTCCATGGTAATGTAAGCAAGAACTATAAATAACTTCGTCACTTATAGCAGTTTTTCTATATCTAAAATAAATAATTCTTAATAAGTCCATCTGCTTCACTTATTACCTGTAAGTCAAAAAAGTGTTCATCTTTACTGCTAACTGTCTCGCAGTTCAGACACCTTGTCTCACTGGTTAAAGTTCCTTGAAATATCTCATGCACCCATGTTGGTTCAGTGCTCTGAGGTATGGTGCCGTTGCAGGTTACACCCTCTCCGGGTGGCTTTTGAAGCTTTAACGTGCTTTGGTTACGTTCCGCTGAAAGTGAATATATCATACTATACAGTTAACAATATTTTTATACTGGCATGATTTATTTTTTGATAAGGAAAGCTAAATAAGTAATGCCTATATGGGTGTGGTTTTGCTAAACTAATATAATCTACTAATATCCTTGTTTATTACATAATAGAATTAAGTCTCCTTAGAAGATAATTTTTAAAACTGTTTATATAATAGATCATTTTCATAAAATCCCATTAGAAGCTGTCCAGTTAAAGAAATGATGCAGTTGTTACTCTAGATAATAATGGACAAAACATCAATAGAGGACTAAGCATAATGATTTTAATTTATTAGAAACAACTGAATTTTAGTTGAATGTTGATCAAATGTGTTTCACATTTATGTGTTTATGATCAATCTATTGACTCGATTACGCCTTAAGCAATTTACAACAGCATCTGTGAGTTCTACAAATAAATGGACGCCGAAGTAAATAGCTTGGCAAATATGTATATAGGCCACCAAACTGTACAGGATGATCAAGAGCTAGCGGTCAACCGGATATTAAGTGATAACCATCGCCCATGGACATTTGCAACACCTATAGGGTTACAGATATGCATTGCCGCCTCTTAATAAAGTAGACTCCGGCTACCTCACTCACCAGACGGAACGCAGAAGTGTAAAACTTCTACTTCACGCCGGTCTTCTGTGAGGTCATATTACAAACCCGGACGGACCTGCCTATTCGTGCAATAGCAGAACTTGTTGCATGGCCCTACCACAGTTAAAGAAATCTATTCATATATACTCAATCTTGTGATACAATTAATTATTGAAAACATTAAATCAGGTAAAATGTGATAATATCCATAGATAGTTTCAAAATATATAAATTTTTACTGTACTTTGGAACACTTACCCAATATAATTTCATTTATATGATTGATTAAAAAATTTAAAAACTCATGTGCATCTTGTTGCATATAATTATCAAATTCCTCTGTAAAGTCAGTTTTGTTGATGAATAATAATTACTAATACCAACACAATGATAAAAAAATACATATAAACAAGACATTTGTGAATATTGAAATTTAAAAACACCAGCAAATGTAAATTGCATATTCTGTAATTATTGAAAACAGAAAGAAGTATATAGGGACCAATCACTATTAATATTATAACTGATTTGATGTTTAACTATTATTTAGAAATGCTTTCCCAGCAGGTTTACACTTATCACAAAATATAGAATTAGAAAATGGCGAAAAATTTATGCTCATGGAAAAAAAGTATATTAAGAGACACTTATTTTGCAAACACTGGCTGAAACTTGTAATAAAATTGTCTTAGTAAAATATCAGCCTATACATGTCCCACTGCTGGGCAAAGGCCTCCTCTGTACAGAGAGTATCAGGGCATAGTCCACCACACGGCCGCACTGCGGATTAGCGGACTTCACATATCTTCGAAATATTTTTTTTTTGGGGATCGAACTCAGGTTGCTCGAGTATATTGAATTAAAGGCGAGTGCCTGGACACTGAGCTATCACGGAATAGATGTATTGACAAGAATTCTATACAGCGTGTCGTTACCACCGCGACAATAAATGAACACACATATAGAGGATAACTTTTTAAAATTGTATTAAACATTTACATTCTTTAAACATCAATATTTATTGAGGTATTAAATTTTCCAAAACAAACAATTTTAGAACACCTTATGTACAAAACTGTAACCTAAAGTTCATTTGTAAAGGTCACAAAGCTTAGGAATGGGTTGAATGAATTTAAAAGAGACAAAACATACTGTGAGAAGAAGAGGCTTGTAATGCGACGCTGTGGCGCGAGTTGTATAGGATGTTACAATTTTTTTTCTTTTTTACTTAATTAGTTTGTTTGAAAAATTTTTTTTTAATTATGGATTTTGTTTAACGTTAATATTTTTTATAATTATTGGCAAGTAGCGTTAGATGTGTGTTCATTTATTGTCGCGATGGTAACGACACGCTGTATATCCAACAAGTTAGATGCAGTACAAAAGTATATTAAATTTGGGTGATGATCATGAAGATATAAAGAGAAAATTGGAATTGGCATATAATCACTTTTATGATAAATTTCCGTTTATCAAATTTTGTATGAAAAATAGCCAGGTAAATATAAAATTCAGAGTGTTTCACATTTTGAATAAAAATAAGAACAAACCTTAGTACCAACAAGTTAAAATGTGGAGTAAAAGTTTGTATATCTAGGACATGGAGACATCTCAAACAAAAGTTATTTCTGTTAAATTTTAGTTGTTAAACCAAAAATGTATGTCAATAGTTGAATACTAATGATGAGCAATTTACCTTTTTCCTTTCTTAGCCTAGCAATAAATTTTTTTGGTGCTATTGAACCCACTTTCTTCTTTTGTGTGGCAATACTATAAAATAAATCTGCTAAGCATGTTAGTAGTGTCTCCTTAGTTCTTTTATTCTTTGCCTTATATTCTAGAACCTTTTCCCGGAAAGGACGACAGAAGTACAAGGCTTGCAAGACAGAATTGCTGTAACAAGTGTTACCAAACTGAAAAAAAATCATATGATTTTTTATTTTATTACCATTATTCATGAGTTCTTATCTAAAAACATAAATAAAAACATTGACAAACACAATAGATTTTTGTATATTAAATTTTGAATTTACATGGGTACACCTAAATTGAGTTATAATTTGTTGATTTTCTGATGATGTTATAGGGGCTTAAACAAAACAATGTAACATTTTACAATGTATTGAAAATTTTATTCCAATTATTGGCCAAACATTTAATAATACTATTTTATCATTTTGGGGCTAATGATTAAGTATTTTTTTTAATCCTATTTATTGGATATGGATGCACTTGTATGCTTTCATGAGATTAGCTCATTATATAATATTCTTTGTAGCAAGTTGTAAAACATTTGAATGTTTTTTCTTAACTTTTATATAAAATGTTTAACTGTATAAGAAAACATATACATAACTTTATATAAATATTTGTATAAATATGTTTAAAATATATAATATTCACAATAATTGAAAATGTTTAAAAAAACTTTTAAAGTTTGCAAAATTATTACCAATTGGGTGAAACATGTGATTACTATTACTTAATAAATAGAAATAAAAAATCAGGACAATGTTATATGTCCTTCATCATATGAACTTAAGAATAAAACTGAGTAGTAAACACATTACTAAAAATGTGATATCTTATTAAAATCAACTGTTTTAATAGCATCTCTACTGTGGTGAATTTAAAAAGCAAAATAACCAATGAAAATAAAATTTTCACTTACATTAACTAAACCAAAATAATGTTCGTTAGGTGGGAACTGCTCTGACCCAATATCCCTTTCTAGTTGTGATATATTTGCGCCCTGAAAAATAAAGTGTTCAGTGTCAATTATTAAACACCAATGCGTGTCGGCGATGTTAAAACAAAATATACTTTATGTGAGCTTTCACAAAGGCAGAATGAAATAAGAAATACGAAGATAGTGTATGTGTATACATTAACTTTAAATTATTGTTTCAGACGTGTGTATTTTTCTTACCATTCTCTGTTGGAAATTAAGGCCGAGATCCTGACATATTGACATTTGCAATCTGGTTTTAACGACGTTTGGAATGGAACATGCAATGAAGCAATTCAAAAATGAATATCACTGAAATAAAGTTATGTCTGAAAACATACTTAATGATGGGCACTAAACTTATTAAATTTGAGAACGAAAACCAATTCAATCATATCCATGACAATCAATCATTACACTGACAGTTTTTTTGCGTACTTGGATACAGATTATAGATGTTAAATTGTAGTCACTCGCAACGTTTCTTTACAACATCAAGTTTTTTTTATATTGTTCTTCTTCTTCTTCTTTCTTTAATAAATAGCTTCTCTTAAAAGAATTCTGCCAATATCATGTCAGTCAAGGGAGTGACGTTTGTACTTATAGATCAGATAAAATATGGAGATTATATTGAGATTTCCAACCTGAAAGTAGAGACATTTGCACATTACATTTAAAACCCATCACCTTAATAATACATATCACAAATGCACACATCACAAAATCTAAATACATTAACATTTTATTTTATTTACATGGATGAAATCACACAAAGTTTTGACAAATGGAGTAAAAACAAGGGATAATATGACAGACATATTAGTAGGACGCGGAATATTATGAGGGATGAAGTCATATAAGGAGAAAGTTAATTTGGAACAAGCAAAAAATATATGTTCAGGAGATCCTTCGCCCAGCCCACACTCACAGATTGAGTTATCCCTGATTCTAAGCTTGGCTAAGTGAACAGGTGTGCAGCTATGTCCAAGGCGGAGACGGCAAATGGTTGATGTAATTTGTTAGCTGGCATTACGATACTGAAAGAACCAGGGTTTTTTGAGAATGTCTTCTTGGGCACGAGCATAATATTTACCGGAAATAAGTTTAGATTTGCACCAGAGATTACGCCATGAGGCCATGAGATCTGAACTAGCTGATGGTATCAAATCATATAAAAAAGTATGTTGCAAGGAAAGAGAGTTAGAAGTTGAAGCTGCTTTAGCCAGTTGGCTGCACATTCGTTGCCTTGAATTCCACGATGTCCTGGGATCCAGGCAAGGACTACGTTTAGTCCCTTTAGGTGACACTTTAACAGTCTCCTTGATTTTTAAAATAGTTGGGTTCCTAAACTTCGAACGGAATGGGTTTGACAATAGATTTTTTAGACAACTTAAAGAATCGGAAAGGACTAAGGTTTTACTTATATTATGAGATTCTGAGTAGAGGACTGCTTCTAGAATTGACAGAGATTCGCCGGTAAATACTGAAGTATAAAAGGAGCACTTGTTATTGAGTATTATTCTGTACTTCGGTATCCACACTGCAAAGCCAGTACAGCCTTGATTAGTTAATTTAGATGCATCAGTATACATGAGCAACCAGTCATGCCAATGTTGAGTGATAATTTGTTTTAGCGTATTATATTGGGATCAACCGTATCTTTATGTATACCAAAGTCTAGAATTACTTGAGGGTTGAACATTAAGGCCTCAAAGGGAGTTTCAAAAAGCGGATTCTTGGTGGATTGGAAAATTGGTGACCGTATGTTAACAAATTTAAAATAACTTTTTAAAAGGCATGGTAAGTCTTTGTGAGTCCAATAACTGGATTCTCTAGCTAATTGGGAGAGGCTTTGTAGCCTAGAGAGAAGGGGATGGTACAAGAGTTGAGCTGCTTTGAATAGGAACTTATCTGACATAAGTTGTCTGCGGAGTAGGAGAGGTGGTTCGGCACATTCCACCTGGAGGGCGTTTATAGGGGAAGATTTCATGCAACCTGTGATTATGCGGAGACATTTGTACTGGATCTTATCAAGAGTGGCCAGAGCTGCCTTGTTACAAGGTTCTAGTAGAAAAGAGCCATAGTCAAAATGACTCCTTATTAGCGCGTTGTATAGGAGTTTTTGTGTATATGGATGGGAACCCCACCAGACACCAGATAGAGAACGAACGACATTCAGGTTTTTTTAATCCAGATAGACACCCAGAAATTTTACTTTATTGTTGTTTGGTATATTCTGGTTGCCTACAGAAATAGAAAAGTCAGGGATAAAACGATGTCGAGAGAAGACAACAATATTACTTTTAAGAGGGGATATAGATAACCCATGGTTAGATAACCATGTGTTTAGATATTCAATGGCAGTTGATAAGTGGGAAGATGCTTCAGCTATAGAAGGATTAGTAGCATAGAGAGCAAGATCATCAGCATATTGTAAAATACTGGATGTATAATTGACAGATGTACTTAGATCATAAGTGTAGATGTTAAAAAGAAGAGGGCTCAGTACAGATCCTTGTGGAAGTCCTTTCCAGACAGATCTAGAAGGAAGGGAAACCCCTTGAGTGCGAACAAGGATACGCCTGTTAGAGAATAGGTTGGATATGAAATTGATTATCCTCACGGGAATGCTCAGCTGGAGCATTTTTTGCCTGAGCAGCGGAAGAATCACATTGTCATATGCCGAACTTATATCAAGAAAGGCTGCGGTGATACATTCTTGTTTGGAAAATGCCAGTCGGATTTCAGAGATAAAGATGCTAAGGCTGTCAATTGTGCTCAATCCCTTCCTGAAGCCGAATTGCGTTTTGGGCAGCAAACCTTTGTTTTCTATTAACCACTCTAATCGGTTTTTGATAAGGTGTTCCAAAATTTTCGAGAGAGTAGAAGAGAGAGCTATTGGTCGATAGCTGGACGGCAGAGAGGGGTCTTTACCCGTTTTCAGAATTGGGATAATGAGCTGGGTTCTCCACTCATCTGGAATAAATCCAGTAATAAATGTTTTATTTAAAAGGTCTAGAAAGTATTTGCGGGTACTAGACCCAGATTTTGTTAGGAATGAATAAGGGATCTCATCAGCTCCAGGAGAAGTATCTTTAAGATCCTTAAGGACTAAATGAAGCTCAGCAGAAGAAAATGGCTCATCAAATTTGTCATGCGCATAGGGAGGTGCATGGGCATCTGCATAGAGTGTGGGGAATTTTTATATTGTTATGTTAGTGGAGAGCCGTGATAGCTCAGTGTCCGGGCGCTCGCCTTTAATTCAATATACTCGAGCAACCCGAGTTCGATCCCCGGTGCCAGGACCAATGAAGTTTTTAACTTTAAGTGCTGACTTGTCACGCTCTGCGGTGAAGGAAAACATCGTGAGGAAACCTGCATATTTTCGAAATAATAACAAAAAAAAAATTTCGAAGATATGTGAAGTCCGCAGTGGGGCCGCGTGGTGGACTATGCCCTGATACCCTCTGTATAGAGGAGGCCTTTGCCCAGCAGTGGGACATGTATAGGCTGTTACTTTACTATGTTAGTGGAGTTTGCTCACAGAATACTTTTACTCAAAGACTTTGCTATTAACCCGGCGTCTATGACAGCAATCCGCGCAATTTACACATTTATTTTTTTCCTTTTTTTTTAAATTTTTTGTCCATTTGTTATTTTCTTATTTTCTTCCCTTTTTTTTAAAGTTCTTTCTTTTGTGAAAGATATCAGTTCATATTTTCTTATTATTACGTCGGTAAGATCGAAAAATATTATGCGTATTTCATTAATCAGTAATTTGTATCTAAATGTAATATCCAAAATACACGATTTACAAAAGGTAGGGTTTAGGTTATAAGGGGTCATTTAGAAATAAATCACGGACCAAACGTTTGAATGATGTCCTATTAGGGGCTCTACGTATGTCATCAGGCAAGGAGTTCCAGAGGAGTGTAGCCTGAACAGTGAAAGAATTACTGAAGAAACTGGTATTATGTGAAGGGATAGTAATCTTTAGATTAGCTGAAGAACGGAGATCTCTTTCATTGTTCAGCGAGAGGTATTTAAATTTATCTTTAAGATAATACGGAGTAGCAAGATCGTTTTAGATCGAGAAAAGAGTAAGGAGAATTCTAGAGCTACCGCCTTTGTTTCATTGTTAGCCATTTGAGGCGAGAACGATAAGGAGTAATATGGTCATATTTTCGAAGGTCAAAAATGTATCTAATGCAGTTGTAAGAGAGGCGCTCTAGCTTGTTAAGAAGGTCACTGTTCAAGTCCGGGTAGCAAACATCCTCGTAATCAATTATTGGGAAAATAAGCGTTTGCACAAATAAGAGCTTAATCTTAAAAGGGAGAAAATTCTTCAGACGATAAAGGGTTCGCAAAGTTACAAAGACTTTACGGCTAACTTCAGTGACTTGTACTCCCCAATTCATTGTACTGTCTATAAAGAGGCCAAGGTTTTTAATTGAGTTGGATAACGGAATACGTTTATTGTTGTAGTAGACAACAGGCAGATTGGCGATGTCAATTTTAGCCAACAATCTACTGCTTCCGACAAGCATTGCTTGGCATTTATTCGGGTTAACAGATATTCCATAACGCATCGACCAGTTATGAATGACGCTCAAGTTTGAATTTAATCTAGAGAATGCGTTAGGGAGGTCACCAATATCAGCCTGAAGGTAAATCTGCAAGTCATCCGCATACAGATGGTACGCACAATTAAGACATGATGTGATTGAGTTTATAAAAACTGAGAACATTATGGGAGAAAGAATACCGCCTTGCGGTACGCCAGAGTCAATATTAGCCCATTGTGAGGACTTTTGTCCCACAATAGTCGACTGCTGACGCCCGCGAAGATAAGATGAGACCCAATCCAAAACTGTGGGAGCGAACCTTAGTTGAGCAAGTACAGCGGGGAGGATATCGTGATCAACTGTGTTAAAAGCGTTAGAAAAATCGACTAGCACCATCACTGTCACTTTCTTATCATCCGTACCTAATCTAATATCGTCGGTGATTTTAAGTAAGGCAGTTGTGGTGCTATGGCCAGGACGAAACCCAGACTGATAATCACTCAGTAGGTTATTTCTATGTATGAAACAAGAGATTTGCTTATAAACACAGGCTTCCAAAACTTTAGAAAGGAAAGGTAAACTTGAGATGGGGCGAAAGTGATTGGGACGTACAGGATTAGGGACTTTAGGAAGTGGCCGTACAAATGCTTTTTTCCAAATCAATGGATACTGACCTGACTCAAGAGAAAAGTTTATAATGTGAGTTACAACAGGAACAAGGAAATCTAACAAATTTAGAATCATAAATCTACACACATCATCACAACCAACAGCTCTGGATTTGATTGCCAGAATGGCTTTCTTAGTCTCATCTTCGGTGACTGGAGAAAAATGAAAATCCTGAGATTGTGGAAGCGGAGTGGAAGCTATATAAGCTATAGTATGAGCACGGTTTGCAGAATCCATTAGAGAAACAGAGATAAAGTGTTTGTTAATATCGTCCGGAGAAATAGAAGAACCACAAACATTAGATGAATAAGAGATACCAAAAGATTTTAGAAATTTCCACACATCAGCTGGAGAAGAGTTTATTATATTATCATGGATATATCGGCGTTTAGCTGCACGTACCATCTGATTGCACCTATTTCTGGCTTGTTTGAAAGCTGCCCAGTTTTCTTCAGTACGATTATTCTTAAACTTATAACATATAAGTTGCCACTAGTGGCAGTTTTTTATTTTTTATTCAATTGTCACTGGTGGCAGACTAAATACTTCCATTAACTTATTTTATGATCGAATTTGCTTTTATTTTCGAACTATATTTCGAACTAAATATATTTTTTATCTGTAGTTCCGAACTTTTCGCCTTCTTTCGCGCGTAGCGCGCGCGCTACTTTGTTGTTGATAGAGATTAGAGTACGGTTAAAGTCGATCGTTCGAGATCGAGATCCCCTATTCGGGAATAGGGAACTTCCACAATCTATTCATATTCAATCTGTGAACGAGGTTGTAGGCATCAGCAGGAGCCAGGAAGTTTATTACGTGTTACATATTGACGTGGCGGTCGCCGGCCGGTCAGTGTTCTATAAAGCGTGGTTAAATTGAAGTAGAGTTGAGCAACCGGTACGTCCTTAATTTGTATGAAATTTAAGACATTTTACGTACGATTGAAAGATAATGTTGTAGCTTTAATGTAATTATTTATTTTGCAGCTAAAATGCTGACTACTTTATTTGTAGTTTTGGCTATATCAGCAGCCTTTGCGGGCGTCCCTAATCCTGAAGAAACCAAACGATTGATGGATCACCTTTCGGATCAGGAACACTTCAGAAATGAGCATCACAACAAACAGTTCGATCACGACGCTTTCTTAGGAGAAGATCAGGCTAAAACATTTGATCAATTACCGCCTGAAGAAAGTAAACGACGTCTAGGGTGAGTCAAAGTTAAAGTGAAAGTCAAAATTTTCTAATTCAAATTGGCTTAATTTAAGATTTTATTGAACGTCAAAAAACTACCACCATTAAACAAACCTCTGTGGTCTTGTTATCTTTTTTTTTTTCTTGTTTAATGATAGAATTATACAAACTTATTTAAGTATAAAATCAGCAGCAGCCAGGGGATGTGCAAATGCAGAGCAATTCCACCCATCTTTGTCTTCAATGTATTCTTCAACATTGTGATGTAAAAGCTACCCTAATGGCCCTTGCTATTAGGGTGGGTAGCTTTTACAAAAAGTACAAAGAAAACGCTGGGTGTTTTTCAAACTAACATAAAATATTATTGAATTGATAACTACAAAATGGTGGTATATTTTAGTGAAAATAAAAGTTTTAAATATTTTTTTTTCTCAAAACTGACTAAGTGACCATAGGATTCGGCTTGTTGATTATTTCATTAGGTGATTTTTTTCTCTCCCGAAATTCTCGGACTTTGTTCTCCCTAAGTGTACAGACATAGTTTGCAATGTTGAATTCTTGTTCAAAGAATCTTCACCAACATTATCTTATTTTAATGTAGGTTATCTAAACAATAATGAGACAATGCACTTAATTCAGGTCAGACATATATTCATAGGTTAAATAAATATAGCCTATAGTTTATACTATAGTTAAAATGCTGCATCTATGGAAATAATTTATTATGTACTGTGAAATTATATAATGATGTTTATGTGTGTGCAGATAATTTAGCAGATGTTAAGAAATAACTGCCACTCCTGCAACACAAGCCTCTAAAAGAGTGGGTCTAATTTAAACAGATTCTTGTTTATGTAGGTTATATGTAAGCTGTATGCCTTTTATGTAAAAAATTACCAGAAAAGCTGTGTATCCCTTTAATGTGGTACACACTTAAAAATATGAAATTGTTAGGTTACCTATAGTCATATAGTCTTATCTATTTATTGTTTAACTCGTTTTTTTTTATTTATTGTTTCTAGAATAATAGTGGACAAAATTGATGCTGACAATGATGGATTTGTGACTTTAGTAGAACTGAAAGATTGGATCCGTTATACTCAGAAGCGGTACATTGAGGAAGATGTGGACAGGCACTGGAAGCAACATAATCCTGAAAATAATGACCTTATACCATGGGAGGTAATGTAACATGTTCTTGTATAATTATATATAATTTTTATAATTATATAGTTCTGAGTTGACAAAATCTTGATATACCAGTGGAGCCATTGTAGGAATAAAGTAGCTTTTGTGTCTTAAGTCATAACGGGGTAGGAAGAGGCATCAATGTTTATTTCATATGTAAAAGTGACTTTTACATTACTCATATTCAAAAGAGAAAGACTGGTATGTGATACTGAAATCTTGTACAATTTGCTTATTAATATTATTATCTAGCCTTGGCCAATATAAATTAATAAGTAAGTAATGCCATACTCAGGGACTACATATTACAAGGGAAGATCAAAAATTAAGTATTAAATTATTTTTCGCTTTCAATATATCCTTACTTACAGTCCGGAGTGATGGTCATCTTCAATGGAATCCCTGCCTTGCTTAAAAGGCCATGCCACTTATAAACCATAGTTTTATTAGGGGCAAAGTCCACATAACCTAGTAAAATCTCTTGGAAAATGGTTTGGGGTGCTTGATTTTATCTTGGTGCTGAGATTACCCTTGCTTTCTTGAACTTAATGATGGTGTGGTATTCAATTTTCTCCATAGTTGCTTGTTTCTTCCCAATTGACTTGTTCACTTGTCAACAACTCAAAGGTTAGGTTAGGTTAGGTTAGCCAATTAGGTTCAAATTGGGTATTTATACCATTAATGAGTAATTCCACTGGTGACTACCTGGATTAATTAAAATACACCCACACACCCCTGCATTCAAGCATGTTGACTGGCCCAATGTATATGTATAGCATAAGTATAAAACTGTTTCTTTTTCACTCATCACTCATTTTTATTAAATTTTTTGTCTCTTTTTACATAACAGACATATAGGAAAAATGTGTATGGGTTCATGGATGAAATGGATGAAAAAGAGTTCAAGGCACCAAATAGCGAAGGTTTTACATATTCTAACTTGTTAAAAAGGGACAGGAGGAGGTGGGTCTATGCTGGTAAGGATCATTTTCCATTTCATTTATTGTAATGTTATGAAAGTGGGTCTGCATTGTTTATTGCTTTTTCAATTTTCCATATATCACTACTCTTTCTTTTTTGAAGATTTTTGACTACTGTATGTGTTTTTACCACTATTTGAGTTGAGACACCAAATATTAACATAAATTAGCTATGAAATAAAAAAAAATGGTAGAAATTATGAGTTAAATACATTTTCTATTCTTATAATTTTTCTTACAATTTATTATCACCTGATGTTAAGTGACTACTGGGTGATAACCCACATCAAGAAGCACAGAATTTGTAGGGTTCTGTGTTTTTTGTTGTATTTCCCTTAAATAATGACTTACATTTTAACTACCCTAGTACATCAGTCCCCACACAAAATACAAAAGTACAATAATTCTGTTTTATGTTGGCCTTCCACGAGCTTTTTGTACTTCCCTTGATGAGGCACAGTATATACAGAGAGGCTTTTCTAAGTGTATCCATTTTTTTTAATTAAAAAATTTTATGTAAAAAATGATAAATATTTTAAATCACTCGTATGTAATTAATTACATTCATTTGAACTTATCTCAAAAAGTGCGTGATTTATACGCAACTTATTTATTTTACCCGCGATCATTAATTAATAACTAATACGCCCACAAGTTCGTTTGTGTTCGTGAACAGTAAAATTTAGGTATGTATGAATGACTACTGCCTTTTTTAACAAGTTCTGTAGGGAATAGAATGGGAATTTTTATGAAAAAAAAGTTTGTTTTTATTTCAATAAACAATTATACTAAGAGTCTGAATCTCGTGTGTAATTTTGGGCACCTTTAAAATCGTCTCCCTGAATATAATTTTGGGATTTAATTTTTCAGATGGTGACCAAGATGATGCTCTCAATAGAACAGAGTTTGCATTTTTCTTACATCCAGAAGATCACTCTGGGATGAGAGATGTTGTTGTACTTGAGACAATGGAAGATATTGATAAAGATAAGGTAATTTGAGTTGCCAGAACATATTTAATAAGCTTATATTTCAGATAACTAAGTGATTTTAAAATGAAAAATTAGTTAAGATTTTACTTTTTTTACTGTTACTTTGGTGAAATGGAGAAAGAAGAATAATAATCTATCCAGTAGTCACACCACAGGTGTTGTCTATACCTATGACAATTGGCTTTTGTTACCAAGAAAGAAGTTTTTTATTTATTGAATGCCAAACATAAAAAATGTTTTATTGTAAAATCGTTTGTTGTTTGCTAAAATAGTTTTAATAATATAAACATAAATTATAAAAATTGTTTTGACACAATTTTTATTATTCCACATTTATTTTAAGTTACTCAAGAACTGAATTTAAAGTATAAACCTTTCTTTGTACGTCAGAAAAATTGGAAGCCATTCCTTTAAAAGCTTGCTTACTTATTATTTAAAAGAAATATAATTTTCAAAATAAGTTTAATTTAATTCTTGAAGGATGGAAAAGTGTCCTTAGAAGAATACATTGGGGATATGTATAAACCTGAAGATGATGAGGATGAGGAGGAACCTGACTGGGTGAAGCAGGAACGCGAACAATTTACGGGATATAGGTATGTACCTATTGATGTTATTATGTCTTAATAGCTACTGCTCGCGACTACGTCTGCGTAAAATAGGCTGAAGGCGTAACCTTCAGACAGAAAGACAGATATACATAAAATATGTATATAAATTATAGCCTATTCAGCATCCTATTCCGATGTATAAGCTATATTATTGTAAAATTTCACTAAAATCCATTAGCGGTATTTACGTGAAAGAGTAACAAACATGCATCCATACATAAAAACTTTCGCCTTTATAATATTAGTAAGTAAGTAAGAATAATATACAGCTTGATTACTTTTTTGTTTTTGAAACTTCCAATGAGAAATTCGAAAAGTGAAATCAACTTTCAGTTTTCGTGTAAAGATAATCATGCTTTTTTAATGTCGTTATAAATTTTTTATCATGCACATAGTGAGTTGCAACTATATTAAAATATATATAAAACATAATAGAAAAGTGGACAAAGGTGTTAGCTGACAAATTAAAAGATTCGTCTTTTTTTACATTGACATAGGTTTTAACTGATGATAAATCGATTTATGATCTTAAAATACGCCAATTCATATTCGTTACATGGTTAGAGAGGCTAGTAAGTTGTTACCTGCCAGTCAGGTATATATTTTTTTATGTATTATCAGCAGAAATATTTTCGGAGACTCGTTAATATTGCTACTTTTGAAATAATATAAGGTTAAGTAAGTGTAATAATATAATGTACGGATTATATTATTTCAAAAGTAGCAATGTTATATCGTGATTCAATGTTAAAACATATACAAAGGTGTTATAAACTATAGGTTGTGTTTGCTTAACAAAAAAATTGGTGATATAAAAACACAGCTTGAGTTTATTTAGCAGGAGTCTCAGTAGTTTATATATATATTTTACACTCAATTATTAATTAATAGTATTTAACTACAAATATGCCTGTAGGCATTTCCTATAAATAATGCTATAGAGAGCCGTGATAACCCAGTGTCCGGGCGCTTGCCTTTAATTCTATATCGAGCAACCTGAGTTCGATCCCAAGTGCGCGCACCAATGAAATTGTTTATTTTTAAGTGCTGATTAATCACGTGCTCCGCCGTGAAGGAAAACACCGTAAGGAAACCTACATATTTTCGAAATAATAAAAAAAATATTTCGAAGATATGTGAAGTTCTCCAATCATCAAAACCCTCTGGATCATCATCCCAACCGGTGGTAAGCGCAGCAAATTACCAACCCGATCCAAATGCGAAAATCAAGCGTCGCCCGCGAAACGTCCTCATCAACCCGGTCGAGGAAGAATACTTAGGGACGTCGGACCCACCTTCGGGAGTCCCGCCGGAACACTACACACGCAGTTAGTGTAGCAACAAACACATTAGTTCGCCCTCGCCTCCGAGCACTGCGCGACCAACACAACGCGTACACAAGGTACACCCGCGTTCCAGGGCGGTTCTCACCACCCCCAGCCACCGATTAGCTAAAAACACAGTCGACGGCCAACGGGGTCTCGGTCCGCACCGCAACCTCGACGGCCCTTAGATGACATGCCGTAGTTAAACGCACGCATGAGCACATGCGCGGCCCTACCCACAGCGGAGGGCCCAAACCCGTGGGTGCTGGCTAGCCCACCGGTTCTGTGTCAGATGAAGCTTTTAATAGTCTCGGGACTGAAAGCACAAACATCAGATAATACAAGATACAAGAATTATTTTGAAACGCTCATTACTCGTACTCGTACTATTTGCAAGTTAACACCTTTGTCCTCCGAAACTTGTCCGAAACTAAACAAATTTGAAGTAATACATTGAGATTAGTGCCAAAATGACATCCATATAGTAATATCAAAGTAAAATTGTGAATTTATGCACGAATAAGGGATGCATAATGATTATGAAAAATTAATGGCACTCAAATTCATTTCATCGGAAGAGACATTTATTAGAAAATATTTGTTAACAGGGACACGAACAAAGATGGTTTTATGGACGAGGTGGAGGTGAAGGACTGGATCGCGCCACCAGAGTTCGACCATGCAGAGGCAGAAGCACGCCATTTGGTGTTTGAGGCCGATGGAGACGCCGACGAGAAGCTCACCAAAGCGGAGATACTCGACAAATACGACCTCTTTGTCGGAAGCCAAGCGACGGACTTTGGAGAGGCTCTGGCCAGGCATGACGAGTTTTAATAAAGAAAAATATCTATCTTAGATGCTGGAAGGAGTATTTGCATTACAATCCTGTATTTGATAGTACTATTGTATGGGCAGTTAATTAATCATTAATAACTTTAGTTTCATTCAACTTTAAACAATTTTATCTATGTATACATAACCCTAATATGCTGCACATAGTGTATATTGACTGTAACAAGTGCAGCAGTTAGTCTTAATTTTTAATGTAATAAATTTTATTCTATACATGTATATGTATGGATTAATAATTATTTAATAAACCAGACCATTAGGGTCACCGTCAGATTTTTACTTTAATTCGAATATTAATTAATAAATCTTGCAATATTAACTTGCCATATTAGTCTACTAGAATCTCTTCGCATCATATAGTTTCATATTTTTCTATTATGTATTTGTATTATATGAATATGAATATATGTATGTAAGGCAATAGATTCTAATGATACCAAAGCATTTACATTTAAACATATTAGATTATATTTAAAAAATTGCCATTTACAACAATATTTTGTTGAAGGTAATTAGTTATTATTTAGAAATAAATTTATATAGTACTCCTTGTAACTTAATATTTGATGGCATTACTTTAGAGAGGTGATTTTAAATATGCCAAGTACCGGGGTAACAAATTGGTTAATACATTTTAAACTAGATCAAAAACTTTACATACAATCCTACATTGTCAATCGTTTTGAAAAGTATTTAACAATGCATTTATATAACAAATCCAACCTTTAATAGTTTTAAGTTAATTGATATATTTTTTAATTGATATATTTTTCTTAATTATAAAATATTTTTCCTGAATAATTAGTATTAGTTTATATTTTTAACATGCTGACTATTTACTTACATATAAACTTTAGTACAACTTTTACTAAAATAAAAATAAAAAGGCTTGTTTTAGTTTAATAAATGGTCTTAACAGAAATGCTTTTTACTTTTATGTTCCTTTGAAACCATAATATCCGGACAATCATGTACACATAATAATATTGTATTATAGAAGAGTAAAAATTAAAGAATCAATAACTTAAAGAATCTACTACGAAAAATTATACCAAGGTAGTTCGGAACTAAAAAACAAGACTATAAAAATTATAAACTATAAAGTATAACAAAATAAAAGAAAATAATCAAATCAGTGCAGTCCACTGCTGGACATAGGCCTCCCCACGGCACGCCACAGAGCACGATCTTCCGCTTTCCTCATTCAGCCACTACCAGCGACCTTTCTCAGGTCATCGGTCCACCTTTGCACCGGCACAGCACCATTTAGCCGGACTGGGTGGCCTAGCACCCGTGAAGAGGAGGCCTAAGAAGGACCTAGTCGTGCCGGGGTCGCGGAAGATTGCGTCTACGTCTTCCCGCGTCCCCTGCCGATGCGACAGCAAAGTGGGTTTTTTTAGTGGGTACCCGTTTCCGGGACTCCCACATACCCCTGTCACTCCCCTGATCCAGTGGCAGGGGATCTATAAAGGATTTTTCCCACGAAAAAAACAAGTTCATCGGTCCACCTGGCATGGGGACGTCCGAAACTACGTTTCCGAGACGTGGTCTCCATTCGAGAACCCGCCTGCTCCAACGCTCATCGGTTCTACGACAGATGTGGTTAGCCCACTGCCACTTCAGCTTGCTACACTTACGGACTATATCGACAACTTTGGACCTCTGCAGGATAATTTCGTTTCGTAATCGTAATTTTATCCCTTAGCGAAATACCGAGCATAGATCTTTCCATAGCTCGCTGCGCGACATGTAATCGGTGGGCCAGCCTCACCTGAGACCCTGCTTTTTAGGCATTGTGGTAATGGCGACGAGAAGATATGACGCAGATTTCCAAATGCTGTCCAGCCCAGCCGCACTCTTCTAGCGATTTCACGCTCAGTTGTTGCTTCGCCGTTGATCGAAATCGGCTCTTGTCCAAGTTCATCCTCAGACCGAACGATAATGAGGCAGCATCCAAGATTTGCAACATGATTTGCAAGTGGCTAAATAAATATCAGCACATCTCGTAATTTATAAAGAATAAACTTTTTAATGTTGCTTTAGACGTTAAATATGTAGGCATATGACATTATAGCTTAAACAAATACGGTAAATCGGTGCATGCTGACAGTAGCGACAAAAAGTAGGGGTAGCGCGAATACCTTCAGTTTCTATACAACCACCAGCTCGTGGTAAACTGATATTTAGTTTAGAAAGAAGTTCAGGGGCATCAATTATCCCATGCAATATTTTGTAAAGAAAAGTTATAACCGTGGCTCTGAGCCTTTCTATTTTTATCAATCCTCACCTCCTGAGAACGAGGCATACAAATTTTAATATTCATGTGTAACATCAAAAGATTTTAGATCTAATATGACCTAGTCCTCGTCGTGAAGCCGTGATAGCTCAGTGTCCGCGCGCTCGCCTTTAATTCAATATACTCTAGCAACCTGAGTTCGATCCCCGGTGCCGGCACCAATGAAGTTTTTAACTTGTAAGTGCTGACTTATCACGTGCTCCGCGGTGAAGGAAAACATCGTGAGGAAACTTGCATATTATCGAAATAACAAAAAAAAATATATTGTCCGAAGATATGTGAAGTCCGCCAACCCGTAATGGTGTCGCGTTGTGGAATATGCCCTCTGCATAGAGAAGGCCTTTGCCCAGCAGTGGGACATGTATAGGCTGTTACTTTACTTTACTACTTTTTAACCTACTCCTCAGAAAAATGCGGAAATAAAATCTTTGATTGATGATAAATTAGATTTTCAACGTGTCAAATATGGAACGTTCGGTCTCTACACATAATTTTGATGTGGCATTAATGGAACATTCGTGCTTTATTAGTAGATACTTGCTACAAGAAATGATGTAAGTATTAAAAAGAGCATATTCTAATCAAGAAGAAATACATCAATTTCTGTCAACATAGTCAATATAGTACTTTCTACACTTAGAAACTTAAAATCAGAACAGTCATTAATTCCTAAATACAAGAATTATTGTATTAATTATAATATATATATAATTATAATATTAATTATAATTTATTACTGATTCTGAGATCTATCCGCATTTTGATGAATTTTTATTAATCCTAAACCTGTAAAAAACAGGTACGACATTTTACATCAGTCTTAAAACATCATATTATACTATTGTGATTTCGTTTTCCTTTCCGATCTGTCTTGCTTTTCTCTTCTACCTTATTTTATTAATATTTAGTAAGTCTTTCCACCAGTACATAACGATTTTCCTGTCTATCCCATCTTTTGCATTTATATCCCCTTTAGATTTAAAAATAGATCTTCACTACTGGTTTATATCTAAAGTACCTGGAGGACCGAGCTTTGCTCGGTTTTTTTTGGTAAATCATGTCTTTGGAAATTACATTTAGATACAAATTACCGAGTAATGAAATATAATAATTATTATGAACTGTTGTTTTTCACACAAGAAAGAACTTTTAAAAAAAGGGAAAAAGATAACAAAATCATCTGGATCGACAAAAAATAAAAAATAAAAGCAATGATCTGGAATCGAAAAAAAAAAGGAAAAAATAGGTGTGTAAATAATGATCGTGACACGAACCACGGGCTTCTGTTTCGGGGCCGCCCGATTACCGACCAAGCTATTATAACATTTTTTTTCATCGATATTTACCGTCATATTCGAATGATATTTTTATTCCCTGAAAACAGGGATAAAAGGAAATTTTCTAACAATGAAACCAAGTTAGATCGATTTTTCGCCCCCGAATCTACGCACATACTAAACATGAAAATCGCTGGAGCCGTGTCCGAGATTCCGATTATATATATAGGATTATATTAGGTTTATATTATTTATATTGGGATTATATATATTTATACAACTTGATATACATTTAGATATTCTTGATATTCATCAGAGGAATTCGCCACGACCTTTTCCCCTTAAATTTTTGCTGCTTAGTATAACTATATTATAACATACAAACAGTCACATGTGTTTTTTACGCAAGTCAAACAGAAGTTTAATTTGCCACATCTCAAAACATCTCAAAACTCACCATCACCATCACCTACAACTCGTTTATTGTTTTGAAACGTAATATGGACTCAGCAAACATGCCACAGGTGCCTTAAAATCATCTACAGAATTTAGTACTGATTTATTATATGCCTATTGTCCTGACTTAAGCGTTCCTAACCTTACTATGATGCAATTCTGTCTTCTGGTGTTCCTTGCTTGTCCATATACCCTTCTTGAAACCCTATTTCTTCAGTTACTATTGTGCTCTATGATACTAACAACAAAAGACTGTACAGGGAGCGAAATAGAATAAAAACGACTGAAATTGAACCAACTTTGTTGGTTTCTATCTACATTTAGTTGACATGATTAATCGTCATCCGATTCAGTATTAAAATATCCATCAAATTCATTTAAAATTACAAAAATATCGTCATCTTCCATAGCAAACATACACACTGTGGGCGAGGTAGGTCGCTGGTGTCGTCAGGTGGCAAATCAGAAAGCAGAAATTCGGTGAGCGCGTATACATCCGCGAGGAGAGTGACATATGAGCGTCCCCGTATGATGTCTAAGTGCAACTGACTAGCCTCGCGTCAACGGTCAAATTCAACGGCTGTGCAACAAAGTACAGCTACCTTCCACTTATTTTTAAAAATATAATAAACCCTAAGCGCGCGAAATACAAATCACCGTCCTCGTATGTATACGCCATTTTATTAATTTAAATTCAAGAACAAATACATAAAGGTGACAAAAGGTAAGTAGTTAACTTAAAGGTAAGTAATTATATATGACAATAGTAATTTTGATGCTAAATAAAATCAAATGTTTACACAAACTAATTATAATTATTTTATATTCCAGGTGAAGCAGCGTGGCCGTCATCAACATCCTCCCCCCCAGTGTCGGTTTGTTGACACGAATCAATAACGCGGAGTAAGGCCACGTGTGCAGCTGATCGCTTTATCACTCCTGACCTAGTTCTAACATCTACTACTCTAACCCTGCCGTCCGAGCCTGGGTAAACCCTTTCAACAATACCTATTGGCCAGCAATTACGAAACAATGACGGATCTTCCACAACAACGAGATCTCCTACCTTAATTTGTTGACCTTCCCTATTCCATTTTCGGCGAGGAATGAGCTCGGGCAAGAATTCTCTGACCCATCTGCTCCAAAATAAATCCGTTAGCCGTTGAGCTATGCGCCATTGACGTCTGAGGTATAAGTCACCATCATCGAAAACTCCAGGTCGAGGTAAATTCGATGACGATCCTAACAAAAAATGATTCGGAGTTAACGCTTCTTGACTCCGAGGGTCCACCGAAACATGTGTGAGGGGGCGGCTATTAATTATGTTCTCCACTTCAGTAAGGAGTGTGGCTAAAACTTCCTCTTGTGGGGATCTTTCTTTAAGTATTACTTTCAGAGTTGCTTTCACTTTCACACTTCTGATAAGGCGCTCCCATGCTCCACCCATATGGGGGCTTGCTGGAGGTATAAATTGCCAAGTTACTCCTCTGTTCAAACGCCTCAGCAATAACCAGCTGCTGATCGATCTCATCAAAAGATTTTTGGAGCTCAGAATCCGCTCCACGCATGTTGGTTCCATTATCTGACAAAACTGTGTGCGGCCAACCCCGGCGCGCAGCCATCCTCCTTAGCGCCATTATAAGAGAGTCAGCTGTTAACGTAGATACTATTTCAATATGTATGGCTCGTATGGTTAGACACGTAAAAAGCACACCATATCTTTTGGGTCTCTGCCGGCCCACCGTGACATTCATAGGTCCAAACAAATCTACTCCACAAATTGTGAAAGGTCTTTGATGATGTACCAATCTTTCAGCAGGTAAGTCACCTAGGCGGGGTGGTTTCGGCGTTGCTTTTCTTATTCGACAAATGAGGCACTGAGATGCTACGGAACGAACAGTAGGCCTTAAATTCACAAGCCAGTATTTTTGGCGCAACTCGTTTATTACAAGTTCGTTATAGGAATGCGCAGCGCGTACGTGATAGTCTTTTACTATTAGCCTGGCTATGCGTCGCCGACCATCCAAAATCACGGGGCATTTCATACTTTCATTAACATATTTTACAGCATTTATCCGACCACCGACTCGTAACAGCCCGTCGCTGTCTAAAAACGGAGTTAACGAACGTAAGCGGCTATCCCTATTTATTTCTTTTTTCTGTTTCAACAAATCGATTTCAGTCTGAAATGATTGTGACTGAGAGTAACGCAGCAAAAGAACTTCGGCCTTTTTCATTAACGATTCATTAATTCACCGAGTATTACTCCGTCTACATTTTTCTATAAACAATAGCACAGCAGCGGTGCTGCGAACTAACCGAAGCCACACCGAGAAGCGGTCTGGATCAGGGACAGGTAACTTACAAATATATATATTATCTTTTGACGGCATTGTTATTGTAAAAATTTTTTCTAAAATTTCCTTATTAATTTTTTCTTCTTTTTCAGGTTCTCGTGGCCAGTATGTTTCCGCTTTAGACAGAAAAGACGGACCCGTAAACCAAGATAAGTCCTTTTGGAAATCGTAAGTATTATTTTTTGTAGCTAAGTCGGCTATGTTTAAATTAGTCGGTACGTAATGCCATTCATTAATTTTACTTAATTCATCGATTTCACCTAGCCTGTTAGAAATAAAAACTTTATATTTTCTATACTCATTTCTAATCCAATGCAGAACAATCATAGAATCCGTCCAATAAAATACTGATGAAGGTTTAATTCGATGTTCCTTTTGTATAGTCTCTGCTAACCTACAAGCTAATAACGCACCTTGAAGCTCCAGTTTAGGGACGGTTATCGGTTTAAGCGGCGCAACACGATTTTTACTCGCTATAAAAGATACTTGTACCTTGTCACCGTGTTGTTTACGCCAGTAGGCAACAGATGCGTAAGCGCACGAAGATGCGTCGCAGAAAACATGTAATTGTAACGTTGTCTCACTTTTGCTTACAGCCGGCGTATCATTTTGCTCGGTCCCGCCTGCAACGTTGTGTTGAAAATACCAGCGTTGAATACGAATACTAGACATTGTTTTCAACTGCGCTATCCATTTTTTAAATAATAAAAATAAATCATCAGTAATTTCTTGATCCCATTTCATCCCTATTTTCCATATATCACGTAATAAAATTTTTGATTTTATCATAAAAGGTCCTAAAAAGCCATGTATATCATAAATAGACATTACGATACGAAGAACTTCACGTTTGGTTGGTTTTCGTATTACGTTTAACACATCACTTGGTATGCGGTTCAATGACAGATCGAATCCAAAAGAGTCCTCAGCAGGAAACCATAAGAGCCCTAGTGTACGCTCGCATTGAGACTCGATATTAAATCTTATTGCCATATCGCTTAAAGTCTCTTTTGGCATATTGTTAAGGACTTCCGATTTGTTACTTAACCAATTACGCATTACGAACCCACCCTGGAGGTTAATATAAGAAACTTCTCTTATCATTTTTGAGGCGGTGGCGATGTCCGGTAAACTGTCAATGAAATCGTCCATATACTGATTTTTTCGTATAGCATTAACTGCATCAGACATTACTGTTTCGAACCGCAAAGTATTTTTATTTTGATTTATGTATTGCGCAATAAATGGTGAACAATTTGCACCAAAAATTAACGAAGTCATAATATACTTTTTAATTGGATAAACAATATGCGAGGAAGACATTTTGGGATCACTGGTAAAATTAGATTGATTTTCGTCTAATAAGTAAATATCTTTCCACAAAAAACGTAAAGAATTAATATCCTGCTCTCGTATTTTTATTCTCAAAAACATGTCTTGTATATCACCAATAATACCGACAGGGTTTTCTCTAAATCTTAACATTATTCCTAACAATGACTGCAACAAATCAGGTCCTTGCAGAAGAAAATCATTTAATGAATATCCTTCAGACTTCGCTGCCGCATCATAAACCAAACGCAACTTCTTTTTGTTTGTGTTATCAACACCAAAGTGCGGCAAATACCAGACATGTTCATTATGGAACTCATCACTATCTAGTAACTCCCTAGCGTATCCATTTGAAAATAAATATTTCATCCTCTCACGATATCGTGACGCGTACTCCTTATTGTTCAACATTTTTCTTTCGATTGACCTTAATCGGTAAAAGGCGTTAGGATAGGAATCAGGCATTTTAAAATTATCGGATTTCCACGGCAAACCGACATACCACTGACCATTAATTAATTCCGCAGTATTATCTAAAATGTTAATAGCTCTTATATCATCGGGATTACGCCGCGGCTTCGAACCTACACCAATAGACTCTAACGCAAATGACCTACGCACCGCATCGTGCAACTGCGCACAGGTACGGTCACCGCTAGTGTTCTCGAGACAAGGACGGCAAGATATTGTTTCTACCGTGTGTAAATGAAACACCGACTGCGTAGATCCTACGTAATCATTATCAGTGCAATCAGGAGAAAAAGAGACAAAGCGATCAGTGCAAGTAGTATCACTTACCATGTTTCCGTGTATACACCATCCGAGCGCCGTTTGTGTTATGTACGGCTCACGCCGCTTACCTCGGAAGTAGCGGACAGGAGTAATTAAATGATGATTATCTTGACCAATTAACAATTTTTGGCTGCGTATTACAATTGCAAAACTTAAAATCTACACTTAGCTGTCCGTAAGCACTTAAATCTATGTTTGGCACCTTTTGCACGGGCAAATTTAATTCATTTATTTTACGCGCACGGAAACTAAACTTTTCGTTATAGCAATTAGAGACACTAACACTTATTACTTGTGACTCACACACTAGCTCGCCTGAGTCCCATGCACTGCGAGCGCGCATAATAACGTTCTCGCCCTGCAATCCTAGCTCGTCTGCGATGTCAGCTGATATCAAGGTCACGGTCGCTCCATCGTCCAGTATGGCATGCGTATGCAAACTTCCGTTGGGCCCGTGAAGAGTGAGCGGCACCGCTTTCAAAAGCACCTTGTGACAGTGGGATGCCACCATATGAGTCACTGTTTCAGGGTTGGGATGCTCTCCTCCTCTTCATTCTCAGTTTCGGGTTTCTCATTTTGTGGCTTACTCCAGTGCAGCAAACGATGATGGGGTTGATTACAGCCCTCTATCTCACAAATAGTGCCACGGCAAGCTGCTAAATTCGTATGTCGCGGTTCAAGGCACTTGTAACACAGTTTATTTGTGCGTGCGAATCGCCACCGGTCTTTGCGTAGGGCGCGTTTAAACCGAATACAGTCTGATAGACTATGTACACCTCTGCGGCAAAATTTACATTTCATATTATTCTCACATTGATTATTTGTATATAGCAATACGGGTGAGTGTTGTTTACGTTCATCGAGCTTCTTTTTGAAGTTGTGTTGAGTATTAATATGGCTCACTCCTGATGTAGCTATCTTAGTGGCTTCTTCATATAAAAATGTACTCAATAATTCCAATTTCGGTAGATTACTCTCTCGGCGTTCATAAATATAATCCGTCCACTTCGTGACAAGTAAAGTTGGAAACTTTGAGACCACAATAGACACCAATTCTGGGCTACGAAGATAATCGTTCTGCTGTATAGCTTTTGCAGCTGTCACATAATTTTTTATTTTAATTGAAAAATTTATTATTTCATTGTGGTAAGATAATGGTAACGGGTATAACTTTTTTAGCTGTAGAACTATTTTACTCATGATAGTTTCAGGTTTTCCAAATCGAAGTTCCAAAGTGTCAATTATCAAATCAGGTGACGTTTGACCAATCAAAAGGGATGTCACTGCTTCTTTGGCTTCGCCACGAAGACACTTGCGTAATCGCCATACATTTTCTGTATCACTGTATTTACACAGCTTTGTAGATTCTATGTATGCCTGTTTAAAATGTAACCACTCCATTGGATCGCCAAAAATGAAGGTAAGTCTTTAGAGGTTGCTAGCCTGGTTAAAAGCTCTTGGTTCTGCGCTTTATATGATGAGGTGGTCACTGCATCACGTAGGGCATTTGCCAGCTTTTCAATGCTGGATCTGTCACGACAGCAATCTTCTTGATGCTCCACTTGCTGGCCCACTGTATTATCAAGCCAGTCTTCTACTTTGCTGTTAGTAGATTGAGAAGCAGACTTACTGGAACGGTGTGATGTAGACTCTAACTCTGCCATCTCGGCTGCTAGCTTTTTGTTGAGCAGCTCGGACTTAATATTTGCCTTAATCTTCGCAGCATTAATCTTGGCTTCCGCTTCAGCTTCAGCTAGTTCCATATCAACAGCGGCCTTAGCTTTAGCAGCCTCCAACTCCAACTGCCGTTTACGTGCGGTTGACGACGTACATGAGGTTTTCAGAGACTTTTTGCTTATGCTACAAGCACTTGGGTCTTTTACAGTCATTTCAGGCTCATCATCCTTCAAACTACATGAAGGAAAAAACATCCTGCTCGTTCCTTTTACACTCCGATCTCGTAACGCCGCCACGTGTTCGCTTCTTCTTGCGTGGCGTAATAGGCGTATGAAACATTTCTGTTACCGGTTTGCTTGTCGACGACGTGATGATTCGGCCGAAGGACCACGATGTGGGCGAGGTAGGTCGCTGGTGTCGTCAGGTGGCAAATCAGAAAGCAGAAATTCGGTGAGCGCGTATACATCCGCGAGGAGAGTGACATATGAGCGTCCCCGTATGATGTCTAAGTGCAACTGACTAGCCTCGCGTCAACGGTCAAATTCAACGGCTGTGCAACAAAGTACAGCTACCTTCCACTTATTTTTAAAATATAATAAACCCTAAGCGCGCGAAATACAAATCACCGTCCTCGTATGTATACGCCATTTTATTAATTTAAATTCAAGAACAAATACATAAAGGTGACAAAAGGTAAGTAGTTAACTTAAAGGTAAGTAATTATATATGACAATAGTAATTTTGATGCTAAATAAAATCAAATGTTTACACAAACTAATTATAATTATTTTATATTCCAGGTGAAGCAGCGTGGCCGTCATCAACACACACTATTCAGAACGAATGAGTCAACTACGGAACACTGAATGTAATAGGTTGGGGAAAAAAGTTTCTTCACATTTCATAAGAAAATTCAAAACATTTTTTAATAAAGTTTATTTACATTTAACTAAAGTATGTTGGTGGCATTTTGTTCAATAACTTTCTGCCATCTTGTAGGTAGAGACATGGTCCAATTGCTATAGACATTCTGAGGCATCACACCCCTTCTGTTGATCCATTTCGGGCGCTTTCCCTCAACTTCTTGCTTTAATCTCATCAATTGTTCGCAGTAGAGTCACGGCCGTAGCTAGGGGGGGGGGGGGGGGGCATTGTAGGGCAATGCCCTACCTTAAAATCACAATGCCCTACCTTAAAAATACCAAAATAAAAATGCGTAAATATGACCACGTTTTTCAATTTCGTACACGTCTCAAGTGATTTCCCATCCTACTTCGCCGGAATTTGTATATTCTTTCTATGTCGTACCTACTGTGTTATATTTCATGTTTCTACTCCACTTTATTTAAAGGAAAAATTTGAATTTGTAGGGCTTATAGGGGAAGATCCTACCTTCTTCGAGGAAGCTCATTTTAAAGGTGCCAAACCACAAAACGTAATTTTTTGAAAAATCTTTTACCGTATATGCTGTTAAACTCTACTACTGCATTATATACTATACTATTGCACAACCTACGTAGTAAAGTTCCTTTACGCCATTGTTTGCCTGGAAGATATCGCTATGAAGTGATACGGCCGCCAAATTGTGAATTCTATTAATTTGTTTGTCTATTGTTAATTTTGTGTATCCTCTTTTGTGTGGTGGACAATAAAGTACTCATTCAAAAACTAAGATACATTATTGTAATAAAAATTGTAGCGATAGGTATCTCAACTTTTCTGAACATACCACAGTTTGTCAAAATCAAAATAATTTATTTATGGACTTAGGAAACATAAGTACATTTCATCTATCGATAGTATTTTTTTAATCTACCACCGTTTCATCATGAGGTTCCTCTAACGGAGAAGAAACAGGCGAAAGAAACTCCGCAGGTATCCTCTTATTCGTAATTTTTTTCTTAAAAAATTAAAATATTATACAGCTGTTTTTTTTCTTTCTTTTAGAAATAGCTTGGGTGCGATCAACTCATTACCGTGTGTGACATTCATTTCATATTCTAATAATTCTTTGATCTGTGTACTCGTATAAAAAAGTACCTGGAGGACCGAGCTTTGCTCGTTTTTTTTTTTGTAAATAATGTATTTTGGAAATAAAAAAAAATAAAGAAAGCAGTGATCAGGTATAGAAAAAACAGTAAAAAAAAAAAGGGTGTGATCGTGATACGAACCGCGGCCGTCTGTTTTGGGGCCGCCCGATTACCGACCGAGCTATTATAAAAATTTTTTTTGCGGCGAAATTTACCGTCATATTCGAATGATATTTTTCATTCCCTGAAAACAGGGATAAAAGGACATTTTCTAAAAATGAAACAGCTAGATCGATGCTTCGCCTCCGAATCTGCGCACATACTAAATTTCATGAAAATCGCTGGAGCCGTTTCCGAGATTCCGATTATATATATATATATATATATATATATAGACAAGAATTGCTCGTTTAAAGGATAAAATAATAATAAAATAGGCATTTGAATGATGATGATCTAATCAATTCGATTGCAAGTCTCGATGAGTTGGATGTAGATAAAATGCTTCCACTGAACAGTTTGGGTAAGTTTAAAAAATTTAATAATTCAAGTAGGCTAGTGTGGTTAAAGTTTACTAGAATCGTAACGAGGACAAAATGGAAAATACATTGCAAGTGTTGTACAGGCAACGAGAGGCGTTTAAAGATACATATGAACTTTTTGCATCTGTGGCGACCATAGGATGTAGCACTGCAGTGTGCGAATCTACGTTTTCAACTTTAACTGCAATCAATAGGCCTCAAAGGCTGTCAAAAGGCTGTCAAAAAAAAAGGACAAAATCAGTTGATCTAAACGAAGTTCTTCGCATTTTTAATAAATAACATGGCGAATCGACGAATTCAGCTGTTTTAAATATTTTTATTATTATGTTAATTATTATACTAGGTCTGCAGAAACAATTTGATATAAGTGGTTTTTTTGGTCGTATCATCTCATCCAAAAATTAATTATTACCTCACTCTCACTCAGACGTGGATCTCTACATCCAAAGCTGGAAGATCAACCATCTTGTTCGCTTATTCTTCATCATGCTCATGTTCTGCCACAGAAATTATTTGTCTACGAATAGCTATTGAACTGACCTAGAGGTCAGTGATATACATGATGTTTGATTTAGGAGCTCATGCTAGTTGGGGCAAATATCCCTTTATGGCCAACCGCTCCCCTGGGAGATAAAGGTCAAATACTTAGAAGTCACTTTCGACTCGCGTATGTCATTTAATACGCACATTAATAACGTTCGCAATAGAGCCACGTTCTTCTCCGGCCGGCTACACAATTTAACTAACGCTAAAAGTAAAATGCCCTTAAGGCACAAATTATTATTATATAAAACCTGCGTACCACCTTCGCCCACACGCACCCTACTCGCTTGTACAAATTGCAAATAGTACAAAATAAGTTCATACGCCGCGCAACCGGTGCGCAGTGGTATCAACGCAACGTCGACCTGCACAGCGATTGCAGACTCCCGACTTATATAGAATATTTTAAAGACCTGACCAAACGGTTCTTCGATAGAGCCGAACATCATCCCAACCCTCTGGTGGTAAGCGCAGCAAATTACCAACCCGACACAAACGCGAACGTCAACAAGCGTCGCCCGCGAAACGTCCTCATCGACCCGGTCGCGGAAGGGGACTTAGATACGTCGGACCCACCGCCGGGGGTCCCGCCGGATAACACTACACCCACAGTTAGTGCAACAACAAACACACTAGTTCGCCCTCGCCTCCGAGCACGGCGAGACCAACACAACGCGTACACAAGGTACACCCGCGTTCCGGGGCGGTGCTCACCGCTCCCAGCCACCGATTAGCTAAATGCACAGTCGACGGCCATCGGGGTTTCGGTCCGAACCGCGACCTCGATGGCCCTTAGATGAGACACCATAGTTAAACGCACGCATGAGCACATGCGCGACCCTACCCACAGCGGAGGGTCCAAACCCGTGGGTTCTGGCTAGCCCACCGGTTCTGCGTCAGATGAACCTTTAATAGTCTCGGGACTGAAAGTAAAAACGTCAGTTAATACAAGATACAAGAAGGAGCTCATGCTTCGAGGGCAAATCGATTATGATAAATTTAATTTAATTGTTTACTTCCGCCCTACCTGTAATCAATGCTGCCCTACCTTAAATTCAACTCTAGCTACAGCCCTGAGTAGAGTTCACAATAAATGGTCTTGCTTGGCGGTAACAGCTCATAATTAATAATGCCCTTCCAATCTCACCATACACACAGCATTACCTAGTTGCGAGATAACCCAGGTTTCGAGAGAGTCTGTTAAGCCTGACAAGCCTTTGCCCACGACCTTTTTCATCACCAGTTATCAGGTTTTTTCAAAAATGGTTTGGTTTCATTACGTCGTAATAAAGAATCACAAATGAGTATACGGTTCATTAGGTTTCGGTCAGTGAGCTCATGGGGCACCGAAATATCGAGCTTTTTTGTGTACCCAGCTTTTTTTTAATGCGCCAAAACTGTTTTGTGGTCAATTCCCAGTTCTTCAGCTACGTCGTAATTACTGATATACCGATTTTGCTCCACTTTTTCAAAAATGGCATTCATTTTATCCGTAACAGGGCGCCCAGAGAGAGGTGCATCTTTGACATCAAAATTTCCGGATCGAAAACGGTTTAACCTGTGCTACTCTCAAACACTGCACTAGGTCCATAAACATAAGAAATTTTTTTTGCGGCTTGCGTTGCATTTTTACCTTTTTATAGTAAAATTTTAATATCGAATTTCTTCATTAGAATCACTCATCTTAACAATAAGAAAAACAAATGAAAATTACACATTTTCCTAATTTGAACTTGGAATTATCTTTTTTAAAATTTAAACTTTTTAATATTACTAAAACCAGCCAGATACAAATGGTATAGCCAAAGAGATTATATTATAAGTTTATACATACTATTTGCGAAAAGAGTTTTGCCCCAACCTAATATTAATTGAGACCGAATGTTCCATCGGTGGAAAGTCGAGGCTAACTGTCATTCTAAGTTTTCGTTTCTTATTTTTGAATCAAATAAAATATGAAGTTAATTTGGTATTGAAGTTATTTTTCAAAATAGGCTATAACATTTGGCAATATGTTACAGACTAATTTTATATTTACTCAATAATTGAAGGCTCTTTGACGGCGCACGCGCTTGTTTGTTGTTGTTCTTCTTCTTTTCTTTTTTGGCGGTTTTCAATGAATACGAATTTAAAGAGAAGAGAATTAAAATTTATAGGACGAGGAATATAGGAAGGAGGAAAATCATACAGTGAGGAAGAAAACTTTGGACGGTTAAAAAATATATGATCTGTAGTTCCCTCATCTAATCGACATTCGCAAAGAGAATTATCCCTGATCTTTAATTTAGCAAGGTGGATATGGGTGCAAGCATGACCAATTTTTAACCGACTCACAATTGATTTTGCATTTTTGCTTGCTTTATTAAATT